AGAAAAAAGCTAATAAGTTAAGCAAAGACAAGTTGCAGGGACATTCAATTAACCAATATACTTTTCAGCACATTAAACCAGCTCATTAGCCAAAAAGCAATCCTTTACTTTTACTCATTAATTAATGCTAAATATTACTTTTTACCCCATTCCCTGCTCAGTCTATTAAATCCTCAATTATTTCCACTTTTAAATCTATTACCCAATATTTATGTTAAAAATGGTTTTCCATAACTATCCAATATAGCTTGCAGAATTTGCTATTAAATCTAAAAAGCATCTTATAACCGTTGTTAACTACAGAGATGAAAGAGTCCAAGCCACTCTGCAGAATGTTTTCAGTAGGAAAACTTTTCTTTCAATAGTATCTAAGAAATCTCCAACTTTCCAGTATTAAGAGCGCTGTTCCCTCAGAAATAAAAATGCTGATGAGTGTACATGAATTCACAGTAAGATGAATGTAGCAAAACCTGAAAATCATGGTGCAAGGCATATTTCCCAGACAGTCACAAACCCTTTGCTAAACATATTCATGTGGTGGCACCATACTGTTTTTAAATGCACTACTGCAAGGGCCCAGAGAATGGTCTCAATCTGCAAACCCCTGAAAGTTGGTATGTCTGGGCTCAATTGCTATCTAGATGGAGGAAACTATGCAGCATCTCGGTCCATGCTTGAACTGGCAAGGAAAAGTAGAGAAGCTCATAATGAAATGCACAAGCCCCATTACTGATTTCCATTCCCTACTTTAGCCAAATCACGAGCCTTCTAAAAAGCAGAGGTAAGAGAGCCAATCTCTCCCTGTTCTCCAACCGCACATTAAGTGAAGCACCGGTCCAAGACTCGGCAGGATACAATCCCTGAAGGAAAATGCAATATAAAATGAACAAGAAAGAGAGGGTCTGAAGGCACATCAGGCATCGACCAAGTTGAATCTAAGCAGGTCTGGGGTTGCCCTGAGCTTGGAGGGGGACCACCTGGCAACTGCATGGAGCCATCTTGAGAGATGGGAGAAACATGGATATAAATGAATACGTCAAGCAAATTGGATCAGCCCTGTATTAGGTAAGGTAAGTTACACAGGAGCTATTACACTATCATACTGTAATATCAAATTAAGAAAGGATTATCAATTATCAGTCTCATGCAGTGAACCATTTTTGCATTTATATTATGTATGGTACAACCGAGCAAAAACTGACTTTAGGACCTTAGTCTTTTGTAAGTATAAAGGACTAAAAATTACCTATCATCTGCCTGCCTTTGGCTGTGCTCTTGTGAGGTCAGAAAAGGGAAACAATGTAACATTTGCACATACAATGGGAGAGGTAAAAGGCCATTTTGGCTGGAAAAAATCTCTCACAGGACCTTAAGGGCAACAGACGCAAGGCAGGGATGTGAGCTGGCAGGTAAGATAAAAGCGTGCAAAACTGAGTGGGGAAAGGTCTGGGGCAGCTGTAGATAGAAAAAAGTACAAAAAGTACATCCTGAAAAACAGGATGCTTCAGAATGATGGAAAGTCATTTCCCTCTATCCCCAGGAGATGGAGTTGTGCATAAGGTCAGAATGTGATCCAAAAACTAACCCTAAGACTGAACTGGATACCTTGGTGCCTGGAAGCCTAGAAATGAGAAGCTAAAATCTGGGGTCTGAGACATGGAGTTGAAAACAGCATCACTAGAAAATAGACTGATTTTTTTAAAAACTGTAACAGCAAGATGATCTGCCCTTTCCCAGTTGCACACTGTATTTGAGTTAACCAACTTCTCCTCCTCCAAAGTTAGACTACTGCAACAGAGAACTCAAGCAGCTATATGCACGCTTGTTAACTCCTCTGAGCTTCTACTCTGTCTATAGAGAGGAGGGGCAGTTCAATGGGAGCTAAGGGTTACCATGTCAGCATCTGTGCCGAAGTTGCTGCAGTCCAACCAACTCTGACCTGGAACTCCTTCAAAACTGGATTTCTTGTTCCTAGCTTGTCACTTTCTATATCCCTTCATAAGTCACAAAACATAGTTACAATATTGTTGCTTTTAACCATGGTGTAATATCTGAATAATCCCATAAATGTGACTGGGGCTAAATACCGATGAAGAGCAGAAAGTCCATTGTTCTACAATTAGATGACAAATACATTAAGGCTAGCACGGGAATACAAATGAAGCTGCTAACAGTGGCTTCGTTTATGTTTCCAAGAAAGTATGTGTTTTAGGCTCCTCTACTTTCGGAATTTAATTTCATGCACCAGCCATGCATAGCAGCATCTTAATCCATCTCCGCATTGTGATTTTCCAGAGAGCTAGAAACTTTTATTCCTCATTCTCTCATTATTTGCAACAGCTGCTTCACTATAAGGAAAATGCATACACCAAGAAGAATACCTCAGGTATTTTGACAGAACAAGGAAACGAAGCAATTTTCTATATCAAATGAGATATTAACTCTGTAAATATATGTATATAAATAATATGCCAGCACCAAGTGCTTGTCATGTATCATGGCACTATGGTAAAATGCACTATTTATTTGATACAAAGAATATCATGAAACATGCTAATCTCAACACTAGTCTGTCCTTTACAATATTTCTATACTGAATTGTTGAATTGTACTTCTCTAGCTCAGTCCAGCTATGGCAAATCTAGACTGCATACTAAAAAGCAGTAACCTCACCCTGCTGACAAAAGTGCGTATAGTCAAGGCTATGGTTTTCCCAGTTGCGATGTATGGCTGTGAAAGCTGGACCATAAGGAAGGCTGAGCGCCGAAGGATTGAGGCCTTTGAATTGTGGTGCTGGAGGAGACTCCTGCGAGTCCCTTGGACCACAAGGCGATCAAACCGGTCAGTCCTAGAGGAGATCAACCCTGACTGCTCTTCAGAAGGACAGATCCTGAAGAGGAAACTCAAGTACTTTGGCCACCTAATGAGAAGGAAGGACTCTCTGGAGAAAAGCCTAATGCTGGGAACAATGGATGGCAAAAGAAGAAGGGGGCGGCAGAGGATGAGGTGGCTGAATGGAGTCACTGAAGCAGTTGGTGTGAGCTTGAGTGGACTCCGGAAGAAGGTGGAGGACAGGAAGGCCTGGAGGAAAGTTGTCCATGGGGTTACGATGGGTCAGACACGACTTCGCAACTAACAACAACAACAAGCTCACTCCAACAATACAAAAAGGATGGCTTGCTCTGCCTACAATTTATGTATCTAAGGAGACAGTCGGATACATGACTGGCTGGGGAACACTGGGTCTTCTAACTTTCTTCTCTCTCTAAATACATATAAGATTGAGCCTTCAACATGTTATAGGCAATCCATGGTTTGGAGATGGTTCTCCGCGTGGGTCATCCACCTTCCCAGCATTCACTTTCAAAAGTTCGATTCCCTGTGCATAGTGAAGAACGTTGTCCATAATGAAGTTTTATCAATCCAGATAGTACATTAAGCCATTTTCCTTGCAAGCTCATGACTTGCAGAACCTTTCAAAGTAGAGTTGTATTGCTTTGCTAACCATCTATGTTATTTTATATGTCACAAACCATATCACTGTAGCATGCTTTCTGAATTGATGCTACAAGTCTGACAAAGGCTAAATTTCTACAGCTTAATATCTCACCAGCTGAACCAGCTTCTAAGGGAATTTAATGGTAAGGGACTTGTAAGGGACTTCAGTCCCTTAGAAATATTAAGTTATTTTTAAAATTAAAACAGCAAGTATTTAGTTCTGAATTTCACATCAAGGAAGCATGCGTGTGAGTAATTCCATAGAGAGATGATTTATACAAAACTTTTTGAAAAATCACTAACTTTAAATTAGTATTTTATGTGGAAGTTCAGACAAATTTTCCTTAGATGCTTGGCTCCTATTTAAAGTGATTGTTTAAATATATAAAGTCCTTCGTGGCTTAGGACAAGGTTTCCTGAAAGATCACCTTCTCCCATATATGCCTACCCACCTGTTAAGATCTGGGCATGAGGCCCTTCTTAAAGAGCCCCTCAAGGATGGGAAACAGAAGGGCCTTCGCAGTGGCCGCCCGCCACTTATGGAACGGGATTCCCAGAGAAACTCACTTGGCGCCAACTCTGCTCTCATTTAGGTGCCAGGTGAAAACATTTCCCTTTTCCACTCATTTTCACAATTATTTTTAAGATGATTTATTCAGTTTTATGGGATTTAGATTATTAATGGCTGTCTGTCTAATCAGGACATGATTTAGAACGATCATTGTTATAACTATTGCTATTCATATTTTTATTGACAGGTTTTAGTGCTTTTATTGATTTTAGTATTCTGAAATTGTGATTTTTTTTATTTTGGCTTTGTTGAATGATGGATGCTGCCTGGAGAGTCCTTCAGACGGCTTGGTGGCATATAAATAATAAATAATACATAAATAAAACAGTAATGTCTGCCCTCTCCAAGCCACATGGCAAGCTACTTTTATGTGTTTATTTAGGGAATACTATTTAATGAATTCATCACAACTTGAGGCAGATTAAAATCACAAATATTAACAGCAAGTCAACAATAAAAGCATAGCATAAAGCTGAAAAATAATGAAGCTGCAGCAGATAAAATAGTACAATACTAAAATATTCCAGCACTAAACACTAGAAACTTCAAAAGCAGCCGTCGCTAGAACAATTAACTATGCTAAAAGCATGAAAATCATTTCTTGTCTGGTACCAAAGAACCAGCGTCAGGCATGCAAACTTAGGGAGGGCATTCCAAAGATAGGCACCATCACGGAGAGGGACCCATCTCTGGTGACCACCCACCATTCACACAGCAGGAGTGCCTCCCCAGAAGACATAGAAACATAGAAACAGAGCGAGTCAGAAGAGGTCTCCCAGGCCATCTAGTCTGACCCCCGGCTCCAGCCGACTCCACTCATGACATGCCCACCATGTGCATGTCCAGCCTGTCCTTGAACACCTTCACCGATGGGGCCTCAACCACCTCCCATGGAAGCCCATTCCATGCCCTTGAGGTCCTGACTGTCAGGAAGTGCCTCCTGGCATCTAAATGGAACCTTGGCTCCCTGAGCTAGACCGGAGTGAGCAGCTCTTGTAATATCATTCCAGGCCTTATAAGTTAATGTCAGCACTTTGGATTTTCCCAGCCATGCACAGGACAGCAACAGAGCTGTTCTAAAACCAGTAAGATGAGTTCAAGATTTAAATTACAGGGATTTTCAAAATCAGTGTGTGCTCCCACTAGGAAATGCCAAGAACCCCACCGGGCATGCCTAAAGTAATATTTTAGATTCCATGTTTTAGTAATAGCTTTATGACACCGATATTGCAGATTTTAAAAAATACCTTGATCAGACAGAAAGTCCAGCATGGTTTGTAACAGAAAAGATAAGTGTCGGACAGAAAGTGCTGGATTTCCCATTCTTCTAGAGGCATACACTAATTCATGAAGCAAGCGCATCTGTACCGCAGCCCAACCACGATGAGTTCCTGCAACAGCAAAAAGTCAAAAATATTTGTTGAATAATTCTCAAAGGTCAACAGCAATCGCTCTTCTACAACATGTCCTTTGTAAGTTCATTTAAAGGAGCGCTTGCGTCCATACATGCCCGCCCGCCCCTTGAAATCAGCAGGAGAGGCCCTTCTCCAGGAGCCCTCCATGAAGGATATTAGGAGGGTAAGCACCCGGAGAAGGGCCTTCTCTGCGGTGGCGCCCAATCTATGGAATGCGCTCCCCAGAGAGGTCTGCCTGGCGCCGTCGTTATTTGTTTTCGGCACCAGGCCAAGACCTTTTTATTTAAACGGCATTTTAATTGTTAATATTATTTACTGATTTTGTATCTTTGGCCAGGACGTCTCCAATTATATTGTTATTATATTGTTTTTATATGGTTGATATGTATTTATTTATTGTTGTGAGCCGCCCTGAGGCTTTGGCGAATGGGGCGGCATAGAAGCGCACTAAATAAATAAATAATAATAAAAAAAAAAAAACTTCCAGCAGACAAGGCAATGATTCTGTGAGGTACTGCCTCAATAAGGATGGGGGCAGCGTATCAGAGATAATCTTCCTAGTGCCCCTCCAAAAGGCTTAAGATCTCCAACTCCAAGGCACCATAATTATACGATAATAAGCATAAGACCTTGGGATAAAGAACTTGTTAATATCATTGCAAACTGTTTCAATTAAACATTTTGAAACTGACAGAGAATCAGGTGACATAAAGAAAACCACTGCTGCACCCTCTCCAGAAAAATCGCCCTCTAGTTCACCTTTGATTGCCTCGCTTTGCCTCATCTATGGGTTGGATCTATGGATTAAGAGCAAGCTGTGCTCCATCAAGGGTGCTGTTGACACTGTCTTTGCATGAATAATGCTTGTAGAACATAACTGGCATTGGCTGCACAATGGGGAAACTGCCAATTTGCCAACAAAATGTGGTGGAGACAGCACCAAAATTCAAAAGCCAATCATCTCCACCTTCCATTGCTCTAGCAAGTGCTCATGATACTCTGCTAGTGCTGGTTTTTGTTAGCACAGTGTCACTCCTGGATGCTACCCACGCAGCTGAACGGTCCATTGCTGCAGTGGGCTCTATCGTTTGTTGTAAACCATCCAAAAAGCTTCAGTTATGGGGTAGCATAGAAATAAATAACTAAATAAATAAAATAGTATATAGTCAGAATCAGATCAGTAGTGAGAAGCCAAGAACCTAAGGGTTTGGCTATGTCTAGTCACTCATGGAATGGCAAGAGGAAAAGGGATGGGGGCTGGTTTGAGCTACTTCAGCCTGTAGAATATCAGAATAAGTGAGCATATCTCTGTCACTATTTCCAGACAAAAGCAGCCAGGACAGCGAAGGAAGCAGATAGCCTCTCTGTGGGAACCTGCCAGAAGAAGTAGAGAGCTTTCAAAGGCAATACAGGTTGAAACATCAGCTCAGGAGAGCAGAAAGGGGACATTCTGTTTGGGCCAGAGCCTCGCTGATGAGTTAAAATCCTTTGTTAATCAATTGTTCAGGAGTGCTATTATAGCCAGACCTTTGCTTTTAAGCAGCTGCCCAAGCTGAGAATATTTGCTAGGAACAATCTCACCTTTACTGGCCTACATCCTCTAACCATCCCCTATGGATTCCGTATCTCCATCATCGGTAGCCCACAGTTGTGATCCGGAATGAACTGAACCGGACTCTTGGATTTTCTGTGCCTGTAGCGATGTTGCCAAGGTCATTAAAAATCGCTGCACTCATGGGATTATTCCAAATCTACAGGGTGTCCCAAAAGTCGCCATACAAAGGGAAAATAGGAAATTGTAGCAAAATGTACCTTTATTTACAGAATATTCATTACAAAATATTCTCTACGTTTTGGCCGCCTCTTTCTACACACACACACACGAAGTCTCCTCTTGTAAAGTTTTCTCTTATTTTATTATTAAATGTGAGTTTGTTATTTTTTCCTATATATGGCGACTTTTGAGGCACCCTGTACTCTTGATCCTGTCTCGACTTTTGGATTTGATTGGCTTCAACACAGAGGTTCAAATGAGTTCTTTACTTCCTGCAGGGCACTTGTCCCGGATTCCCAGGGATGGGTTACAATGAGAAACTTTTGGACCCTTTGAGCTGCAGCAATTACAATGGGGAATCCAAGTCGTCTGGATCTCTAACACAGATCTGGAGTATTAGGGAATGACTTATGGAACCGAGAACTAATTGTTCCCAGCTTTGTGAATTCTTAAGAGTGTAAACACTAAACTTTTACTGTGGGATTTGCTGCAGAGTTCACTCATTTTGGGGGTCCTGTGCCACAATACCAGAAATGAGCTTGAAGGATCATGTCCATGACACTACCTCCACTTCAAGTGATGATACTTAATCTACTGACTTCTTTACACTAATTTACTAGCTTCCATAAAAAGCAAAAGGATGGGGGTTTTGAAGTAGTAGTGACAGTGTTTTATTCTTTCTTTGAATATGCACCTTTGCTGAAATCCTTTGGATCCAAAGACAGACTGTAACCAGGAAGGGTCTCCAGGAGAAGTTTATAACAGGCTCTCCAGCCAGGCTCTGTTATGCTGGGTGCCACACACTGCATTGCTGCCACACGCTTGAAAAAAGCCGATTTGCGATGAAATCCAATGCGCTCATAAAGCTCCGAAAGGATACTGTAACGCTGAATTTTTTCTTCCTCGGAAAGCTAGAAGAGTAAACAAAAATAAGTGTTCAAATAAGCAAAAGTTCCTCTTGCTCAGTATGACCCTAAATCCTGATGGATTTGTCTAACTCTGAAAAAGAGGCTGAGGAGCAAGCGGGGGAGGAGGAATTGTCTGACTCAAGGTTACCTGGTGAAGTTTCTCAGAGCGTGCCTGCCTTAGAAAGAGAGGAGAGTTTTTTTCAGACTAGGAAGGGAAGCGGATACAACAAGAATTCTTTGACCCAGTCAGTTGGCGGTGGGAAAGGCATGCCGCACAATTAGAATTTCTCCAGCATTCCCACGGTCCAGCCCTTGAGAAGCAAACACTAACCTGAAGATGGAGTCAGAAGCTTTATGGAAAGAGAAGAACAGAGGGGAAGTTTCACTTTGAATTGAACTCTACATGGGCAGATATTTCCCCTCAACTTTAGTTAAGTCCATTTTTATGTAAACCCCTTTGAGATGTTACAATAATTAGTGGATATATAAGAAAATTTAAATAAATAAATATTTGTAGTGCTCTGTAACCAGTTATGTTTCAATAAAAAATTGCACTTCAAAGGTTTCATTTTGAGTTTGATAAACAGAAGGAAAATGAGGAAGGGACCAGCTCATGACAATACCTTTCAAAAATCTGTTAGCATACCGTGCATTAAAACATATTAAATAGCATGCAATCTCAGAAAGAGAAAAAAAACAGGATGGAACCAAAAACTCTAAAGTCTACAAGGTGTCTCCTAAAGAGAAAGGCAAGTAATGGCAATAGCCATCCAAGAAATGTGACAAAATCACCCAATGGATGCTGCAGAAAAGTTTCTAGTACAGATATTCATGCAACAGCTTGGATGTTCCTAAGCCTCCAGTTAGAAGTGAAGTTCTCCCCTGCATGCATGTACATTTTGTTGAATCATGGCCTTCGAGGAAAACTACAGAACCAATAAGTTTTCCATGGCCGGTATTAATAGGTTTTGTTTTTCATCTGCTGCCTATATGGTCAATTTTAGTGTGTTGTTAAGACGTTGTTTGCAACTTCTTCTGTTAGCTAGTTTGAGTGGTTCAAGTACTGAACTGCACAGGTGAAATATAATAATCAGTTATGTAAATAACATTTATGTAAAGTCTATGTGAAGCATTGCAAACATAGCTTTGAAAAGATCCTAAAAGATGTATATATGACAGGATTCAGTTTTTGTTGTTTTGTTTCTTTCATCCAACATATTAAACCATTTCTGGGTTCCTAAAGTGTTTTATATAAAAACCCCTGTGGAAACATTTAAAGAGAAAAGCATCTGCATATTAAAATGTGTACCACATATGTATTTTATGGTGTTGTAAAATGGCTTTGATATCATGGTTTACAGACAGAATCCAAAGGCCTGTTAAAAACTGGTTCCATAAATCTTCAAAACCCAACTTCGTGAATGGGAGCCCACATGGCAGCCTGCTTATGAAACTGAGACAAGCTGCACAAGCAAGTTAGCGAACAGCACAAGGTCTGCATGTTCCAGTAAAGTAAAAAGTCAGTAGTTCTACAAGGCAAGCACATCAAAGCAGAATCGTTTTATTTGTTCCCCAATACAGAATCTCACCAGCTCTTTGAATGCAGGATTATATCTTTAAGAACTATAATTTTAGTGATGCTGAGTATTAGGGGACAAATGAAGTATTCTAGTTCTAGATGGAAGCAAATAATACGTTTTAGCTAGACAAAGAGACTGACAGCCAGATTATAAAGTACAAGACACAACAGAAAGTTAGAACAATCAGAGATTTCCAAGAAACTCCGGAGGGGAAGCCTAATGACATTTTGTGTTTCTACACATTTAAGAATTCAGACACCATCCATTGTTCAGCAGATAGCTCTTCCTGAGAACTCAGCTTGGGGGACAAGCAGCAAAAGTCTTGAGGGACATGAAATAAATAATACAACTATCCCAAAATACCAATTCTGTTTCAGTTGTCTCAAATCCCATCAGGACTCATTATTTCTGCTGTTTGACTGGAATATTTAAAGAGAGAAGTAAACCCAGAAGTGAAAACAGGCCTGCAAGAGGAAAAAGTATTTTGTTTGGATAACTCAAGGGTCTGTTAGGCAGTATTTTATATCAGTGGTAAGTCAGCCAGCAGTGGCCAATTCTTACGGTGTAACACTGCTGACCCCTAGTGAACAATGTGTAACATGCACATACTGAGAGTCTCCTACGATTGCTGGAGACTTATATCCAAAAATTCAGGGAAAAAAAGTTCTGAAGAAAAGTTAATATTCAGAAGGAACAGATGATTGATAAGAGGAGTTGTACTCAAAATTCCTGCACAGAAAACCATCTAATGTAAGACTTAACAGGTCACATGTCCAATAAGTACTACGGATTGATTTTATACAGTGCTAGGGAAATAGTCATTCCTGTCTTCCTGTAAATTGTCACTTTTATCCCAACAACTCAATTTGAGCTATTTTGAAGAAATTTTAGAACCTCACTGATTATACTAGTAAAGCTTACAACCACAAACCACCTGTTTTTAATTACTTTTCAAATAATTGCCATTTAAAAAAATCACGTTGGAATATATACTCGTAAGATCAAGAAAATATATGAATTCTATAAGCAGTTTCCAGAGACATGTAGCAACTTGTATAACCTCACATTAAAAACAAGTCATGTCTTCTAAGGCCAGAAATAAGCATCAGAGCTGAGGGCTCCACCATTTAGACACTGCACTGACATTTACTTTCTACCCTGCATTAAACCAAGGTTCATTACATTCAAACCAAAAAACTATGGCATAATGCCACTTAGCAACCCAAGATCATATCCTGGCTTGTTAATTTATATTAGGTCACACACTGTGGCTTGTTATTCTGGCTTGTTAACTAGACTAGAGTTGCCTGTTAAACCTGCACTGAGAAAATCTAGCTTAACGTAAGCCAAAAAATAAAGTGTTGAAACAGCACACAGGAGAGGACGGGGCACGAAAAAGGTGTTCGAGCTCAACATTTGCCCCTAGCTTCATAAACCATTAAATTATCATCTAGACTGAACATGTAAGTTTTCTAAGATTAGGTGCCTGTACTTAAGGGTCTGTACTTTGTGTCAGAGGCCTCCGGCTAAATCCTGTACAAAACAAGACCCTGGATCAGACAGGCCTTTAATAAATACAACAGGAATTTACTTATATTCTGTTTTTTAAAGAGGCAAAAGTTATCGGATACTTTATTTTTACCTTAAAACGGCCGCTGCCGCTGCTCTGTGTTGTTTTTGGACATGCACATGGAAGGGATGTCAAGAGTGGAGCTCAGGGTCAGACTGGATGACCCAGGAGACCCCGTCTGACTCGTTCTGTTTCTATTTTTCTAAAGCGAGAAGTGTTCTCACCTGACGAAGATTGATATAGACCGCATTCTGGAGGAATTCAGACGCTTCCATGCTTCTCTTCTGTATTGCCAGCACTCTCACTGCTTTCACACAAGCTTCCAATTCAATCACACCAGCATTCTTGTACTGCAAGAAAAGAGCATATAAGGGAAAAGGCGCACACTGCCTTGAGCTCCTCTGAGGAACAGCAGAAAACAAACATCACCACCAGTTGATTAAAAAGTAGTTTTCCAAGCCAATTTCAAAACTGTCGCACCTTGTCTAAAAAAGCAAAAATGTGAGGAATTGTGTTCCATTCTAAAGACAACAAAATTCACTTCACTGTGAATCCCTAACACACTGGATGAGATCTGCAGAAACGTCACCAAAATGCTACTTCCACAAGATATTTTTATCTTCTTTGTACTACAGCTTCTTGCATGCCAGAAAAGTCGCCCATTTGTGTGAGAGAAATGACTACATAAATCTTACATTCTTTGGCACTTGTTATTGAGATGTATATGTACTGAGTGTCTTATTCAAGACTCCATTGCAGAATAATATTTCTAGTGCAGCCACCAAAGGAACACAAGCTTCTGAGATCTCAAAATCTCTTCATCAGACAAAATGTTGCAAAAAGTAGTTGAGGAGGGAGGAAGAGACGGAAAAAAAAAAGATTGACTCCATGTTGAAATCGTGATGTTTGCATGATTTCAAACTTGAGATGAAACTGGGGGGAAAGAGTCTGCTGACATGCAAACAGGGATCTAGCAGGCCTTAGAATTGTTTCAGAGTGTACTTAGGACTGCTGGGATGAAGAAAGGCAGATACATTTGGGTTCCCCAGTTTCTCTAAAACATTGTTTACTCTAGAACGGCAGTTCACATACCTGATTCAGGTTGTAACTCAGGACACATAAAGCTGCACTTTGAGCAGCTTTCCTATAGCCCACAGCCCCAAAACAAAGCAGTGCATCTAGCGCTCTGAAGCAATAGGAAGAGGGAAAGGAAAGGTAAACCAGGCAAGTGGACTCCAGCAGATACAATCAGGCCTGTTTTTAGAAGAAAATGCTTTCTGCTCCTGTAGTTCCTACTTCTCTTCCTAGCTGTACCTCCTCCCAGCCACCAAAACAATTAGTAAAAGAGGTGGATAATCAGAATTAGCTTTGCAGCTCAACTGCAGGGTAAGAATGCAGCTATTTGTTACAATAAATGCGGTAGAACTTCTGAAGATAGAGGCAAGATTTCCCAAGGGCTTAATGAATGTCTTAATTCAGCAGGTTCACGTTCTGCAACAACATGGTTTTCAAATTCAAAAGCCTTCTCAGTTGGAAGAAATAGATATTTACAGCATTTGGCTGTAATGATGTATTTATTATCTGCATTCATATGACACCTATAAACAAGTCTTCTCGGTGTCATACAATTACTTTGAAACAGAATTATAAGATCTATGGTTGACTGTTACATAAACGAAAACATGCCCATACATCCTCCCTTCTCCAGTGAGGTTGTAGGAAGAATCAGTCTGCTTCATTTCTTAATGAACAAAGGTTTGATTCTACACCTGAACAAGTAACGGTAATTGACATCAGTTATGACTTCTTGAAACAAGCTAGCTTTATAAATCTCAGTTTGAAATTGGCATGTTTCCTTCAACAAAAGTTAACACTAGCAACAATTTCTCTAGGTTTAGACATTAGACTAAAATCACGTTTAGTTATAAACAGAAGTTTATTTTTCAATCTCCTCCTTACAACCATGCCCAATAAAAATATTGCAATCAGACGGTTGATCCTTCTACCCAGTACTGTCAACACTGACTGGCAGCATCACTCCAGGGTTTCAGGAAGTTTTCCAACCCTACTTGGAGACAGCAAAGATTGAATCCTGGATCTTCTCCATGCAAACTATGTGCTGCACTACTGACCCATTGCTTCTCTCCCAAAAGCAAGCAGCGCTAACAAGCCCGAGCCTTATTCACAATACTAACACATAGATTATCGTGATAACCAGATGTGGTTACTCCATCTTAAGATATTTAAGTTGTATATGTGCAACTTACTATACGGTCATAAATTTAGAATGGCATCATCCTGAAACCACAAGTTCACACTAGAAAAGTATTTTCTAAGAATCAGAACCTCTGTACAAACCCCACTGGCTTGTAGGCCCAATGGAAGTCCTTCAAGAAATCATGAGGGGAACACTATCACATACATGAATTGAAATTGGTGGGCTTTATTTGAGTTTTTGATGTGAAATAACGTAGCAACATTACCTTGCTATAGTAAGAAATAGCCTCTTTGTACTTTTCTATAATGTCTTCAGGGCTAAGACAGTTTTTAGCACGTCCTATTTCAGTACTGGTATCTGCATTAATGCCATTTGATGTGAGGGCCCCTGCATTGGAGGGAAGCAGGAAATGTTATAGTAACAGCTGATCTCAGTTAATATCAACCAGGACATTAGAACGAGTTGAATAAAAAAACTGTGCTTCAGGAACTCCTTTTCAGAGCGAGCATCTTTACTCAGCAGAAGTGTTAATAAAGAGCAAAGCAAGCTAATAAATAAATAATTCAGGGTATAGACAAACTGGAGAATAATGAAAATTATCAAGAATATTTCTGCAATGTTCTAATTTTCATTATATAATGAAAATTATTTTTAGAACTATTCAAAAAAGGTAGAAAGAATGGGGAGTATGCAATGTTTCCACTGCATTTCCACTAGCTTCATGAAACCCATGGGACCTACCATGAGCACAAAAGGAACTAGTGCTTACAAAAGCAGCCTTGGAAATGAAACAGCAGTGCTTGTTTCCAGAACAACACAAGTCAATAGAACTCTGTTGACTTGTCCTCTTCCAGAAACAAGCATTTCCACTTTTTTCTGTTGCCTTACCGAGCACTAACATCCCAATAATGTATGGGCAGCACTGGATAGTATCCAGTACATCTTTTGATAAGCATACAGGAAATAATATCTGACCAAATTAATTAATATCTGACCAAACTGATTCTAAACTATGGAGCTGTTCACATACAACAGCAGCAAATGGGGGGGGGGCTAATTAACCACCATAGTGATTCGCCCCTTTGGAATTTTCAACACCCACTTGGCCTGATCAGGGGTTAAGACATGAACCCAGACGCTATAGGTTAATTGTGGGTTAACACAGAAACACAGAAACAGAGCGAGTTAGAAGGGGTCTCCCGGGCCATCTAGTCTGACCTCCGGCTCCAGCTGGCTCTGCTCACAACATGCCCACCATGTGCATGTCCAGCCAATCTTTGAACACCCTCACCGATGGGGCCTCAACCACCTCCCGAGGGTTCCATGCCCTCAGGGCCCTAACTGTCAGGAAGTGCTTCCTGGCATCTAAATGGAACCTTGGCTTCCTGAGCTTTAACCTAACTACTAATTGATGGTTAAAGGGAATTAAATCTTAAAGAAAAACCCCTATGTTTCAGGGACATCAGAGGGACCTCAAACAACTGAGAATCCCCATATATAGGATGCATTAGCTTCTTTGACTGCAAGGTCCACAATTTATCAAGATCTGGGGAGGCAGGAAGTGAGATTTCAAATGAGATTTTAAAAAGTCCTACAACATATAGTGACAATTAACACAAAGATGTATTTATTGACACAACACATTTATAAAGACAATATACCTGGATCAATAAGAACTTCTTGTGCCCCTAAGGGAAAACCAAAGTGACAACATTAACCTTCTGCATTGCCATAACAAAAATGGGCATTAAATATATTTTACAGTAAGCCAATCATCTACAGAATCTTAAAAACCTAACTGCTGACACTGAGAGAGAGCATGGAAACTTACTGGCTGTCCTATGATTGTGATACAATTGATTCTGTCATTCCGTTTTTACAGCCTTACCGATGCCTCCATGCACATAAGCCCACAAATATTTTTACTATGACATGTACCCTTCATACACCAATGTACTACACTTCTTTTTTTGTATATTAATAACGCTTCCCCCACTAGCTATCCGAAGGAGATTCTCACTCGTCGTACATATTCGGGCAGCCAACTTATTTACAAACCTTAATTATTGTCAGCAGTGGAATCAAAGCAGTGTTGCCGAGTATCACCATTCCAAAGAGGAGAATCCCTGTTCAGAGCTTCTGGCAGCCTAGAACAACCCTGTAATCATGTGCATGCTAGGCAGGGAGGGGAACTTTCCAAATGGGAAGGGTTTGTGGCTGCCCATAGGTCTTCACCTGCTATGCTTATATAGTCAAAGAGGGCTGAGCATTTTATGGTCAAATATTAAGGGGCAGGAGGGATGCAGTTCTGGAAACTGAAACTTCCTAGTGCATCTTCCATTTTAACTACTTCTCTCAATGGTGGGGGAAAAAACCCTGCTGGGTCATAAATTTGAAACTGGAGAGAGCTGAGACTTGTACAACATGAGACATCACTTATCTGGTGACAGAAGATGCTTGCTGATATCGATATTAATAGTGAAAGATCCAGACTCAACACACATTATATGCCATATGCTAATATTAACAGCATTATTTTAAAATCCCTTGATCTGTCCTGAAACCAAAATAAATTATTCAAGGAGAATTTGATTCATTCTCTTCTGCTTGAGTCATCTTATTGAGGAAAAATTAGGCAGGATTGACGCACAAGAGTAATAATGTATTATACATTTTAACTCACTTTGGTTAGTCACCTTGGATTTCTTTTTTAAAGGCAGGGTACTTTATTGTATTTCAATATCAATATTTACAGCCATGGCTAAAAAATTCAGAATGTTCAGTTTTTACTTTACAGTACAAGAAGAAATCCAGACTTGTAAATAGCTCCCTTGCCTAGCTGTCTGCAACTATTAAGAACTGCCTGTGAGCGACAAAGCAGCCAAATGATTGTAAGATTAAAAGAGTAGATTTAAATGCCAAAAATATAGAAGAACGATTTTTTTTAAGGACAGTCATAGTGTTCTAATGATAACAGAGGTATTTGTGAGGAAAGTGGCTAATGGCCTTTGCAGAATTATCTGCAAGGACACTGAAATCATATCAGTTATAGTGTACCTTTTGCCCTCATAACAGCATTATAATTTGCTAGCATATGTTGTAAGTAGCAGTGACTCTCCTAAACAAGGAGACATGTTTACTCTCATCTAAAGGCCAGAAGATATGAGCAGCACGGTGACTAATGCAGTAACCCCACTGGCTTGAAAGCAAAACTCCGTGAGTTTAGTGAGGTGCGAAGTCAGTCTCCAGTCTGAACATTAATCCTATGGATGATCCCATGCATGTTTAGACGGAAAAATGTCCTACAGCTCCCAGAATTCCTCAGCCATTTGGCAAGCAGTGCCCTCTGTTTAATACATGGAAGCACAAAAGTGATGGCTTAGGCAACCTGGAAAGACCTTTTGTCATGTGAGGTGGGAGACGAAACTCTCACGCATCAAGGAGAAATAGGCTTTACATACAGTGAATTTATACAGTGCCTAGCACAGGACTATCTCTGCTATCATTTGCTCCTACGTATAGAAGGAATGTGGAGACCAATGATCAGATACATATTTATCTTCTTTCTGATATGGGATGGGAGCGCAGGAAAGGAAGGGCAGAGGGATCTGCTTTGCACGGGTCCGTCTCCTGGGCTCAGGGTGAGCACGCAGAGTGACAGCAGCCTGATCGTTACAAAAAGAGCAGCCGCTAATGGGACAGTCATTAGTGACCAGTCCTTCGGTAATTATTTACAGTGTTGCTTTAAAGTAGTGTAAAAATGAACCCTGAATATGCACAACGGAAGCATTCTCCTCTCTGATGAGGCTGGAAGCAATGTAAGTTATGAAAAAGAAAAGTAGGCTGTACAGCTACACATGTATTTCTTCTAATTCAATGTTAAACTTAGTTTGTTTCTGTAGTTCCCTAACGCATCGATCCTTTGCACATTTACTCAAAAGAAAGTCTCACTGAGGTCAATTGATCTAGGGAAGCATGTAAATCAGCCTTTACCAACTGGATGCCTTTCAGATGATTAGCACCACACATCCTGTCATACGGAGATTAGCCATGCTGGCCAAGGATGATAGGAATTGTACATTCAGTATCTAGAAGACACCAAAATGGGGAAGCCTGGCACAGAGAACTGTCACCATCTTATAGATTACCTTACAAATTATTCATTAAAACTTGTAAAGCAAATAAAGGAAACGATGAAATTTCCATTAAACACATTAACTGAAATTCACCCTAAAATACATTAACTGGAATTTATGCTTATTTTCAATAGCCACTAAAAGGCATTCTGCTTAATTTTCATAATAAGCAAATCTCCCATAATTCACACAAGTAAAATGTTCAGTTAGACTCTACTAAACCGGGTTGCATTGATGGTATTAAACCACAATTAAGGCAAAATCCTATTCAGGTTTAGACAGGAAAAAAACCCACAATTAAAAAGTATCACTGGATGGGGAACGCAGAAGCTCTAGGCCTTTTTTCCTGTCTAAACTTGCATAGGAATGTACTATTAGCATATGAAATTATGTATCCATAAACACCTGACACCACTATTGCAATTAAAGCAGTAGTGATTCATAAGAATGAAAATACTGTGTGTGTGTGTGTGTGTGTGTGTGTGTGTGTGTGTCTTTGCCCCAATAACATTTTAACACAATTTGTTTAAGTTAAGTAAAAACATTTTTCCTTAGGAAAAGGCTTCTGCGGAACAATTCAGTCACAATACAGTCATGCTGGGAAAGCGACAGCCATCCACCAGCACGGCTTTGGCCAGTGTACCAACTGCATTCTTTTCTTTAGACATCTGATTTGGCCATGGAAGCTCATGCCCTAGTACTTCTTAGCTGAACTATTCAAGAACTATTATTGCATAGGATCTAAGTGCGCTGCCTTTAAAGAATACGTCAAATCTGCAATGCTTTAGCCAGACTAACTACTAAAGCATGTTGTCAGAAGCCCTTGTTTTAACAGCTGTATTGGCTGCTGAAATGCTAGTGACCTTTAAAGTGATCAGTGGCCTGAAGAGCAGGTTCCTCAAGAACCACCTGCTCCAGTATAATCTTAACCAGGCATGAAGACCTACAAATTAGGTGCTTCTCTGTATACTAGCAACGCCACCGGTGTGTTTGGCAGGAACATGAGAGCGGCCTTTTCCGCGACCACACTTCAGACCTTGGAATTCTCTCCTTCAGAAAGTTCACTTTGCTTTCTTTTCAATGACAATGCGAGGAAGTGAAAATAAATTATTTTAATTGGATGCCTTTAATTGCTGCTGCTTCTGACTTAGCACTGCCTTTGTTTTTAAGTGGTTTTGCTTATTTTACAACTTTGATATGTGATGTTATGTTGAATTTCAATATGGGTTAGTTTAATTTCTGTTACATTTTCTTATTATTTTTACTGTTTTGACTGATGTTGCACAGGAAAGGTGGAATACAATTGCTATTTATTCAGAACCCATTCTTTCTAAAGTTTCTAAAGAGTGGCCTGAAATTTAGTTGTGTGTCATGCACAGCTACTGATGTGAGCATGAGAGCACCACTGATGAACCGCATACAGTCCGTGAACAGCAGAGTCAAATGGGAAAACGATTAACCTCCAGGCTTCTTGCAAGTTTCTCTACCTCAAGTATTTCAACACACCAGAAAATCTTGACACTTTGGTTTTTAGTTGGATTATCTGCCAAGTTGCAACCGAAAGGTACATTGTTGGACTTCCTTTGCTTTGAGACTAATCAATTGTGCCTACAGTGTCACTGCCCACCTGCAGGTTGCCATCCAGCAAACAAAGTGTTAATCCTCTTGTATGGGTGGTATATTTTTCAATTTTTTAATAGTTTCTCAGCCTGTCCACTGCACATGGACAGAATATTGTACCACTGAGAGATTAAGATTTGTAGGACTGCATGGAAAAGCTAAAAGGCAGCATGCGTACACTAGTACAAATATTTGGATTACATCAGTTAAAGCACACACACAAACACACACCCCTCTAAAGCTGTGGGCCACCAACAGAATATTTAACTACCGAATTACGGAGACAAGAGCTTTCACATATATCAAACGTTTGACTTACCTGGCCTGTGCCTGTTGCCTGCTTCCGCAGGGAGTGAACTTCCCGGTGTTCTGCGAGAACCAAGTTTACCTCCTGTACCTCCAGGATAGTGATAGATAACAGAGGCTGAACATAATCCTTCAAGAGCAGCTACAGATTAAAAAAAACAATTATTTTAAATAGTAGCGATACCACAGCCGACTCACTTGCAAAATGTATAAGGCATGCAGGCAAGCAGAGAAGCAGGCAAAGATAAACAGAATTGCAGAACGCTGCCAAACCAGTCTTAACATCCAATGCCCCTTCCATGGGGGTGTGGGCAGGGGCAGCAATATCAAGCAAAGTATCTATGCCGGCATCTATGCTGCACACAGGAAAGTGGTAATAATCTACCTAGTACAGGTGCATTCACAGAGGAATTACGGCCACAGGTCTCCATCACATTAACAGTATGATTCAGTATGATGCCTGCAATATACATCTTAATGGAGGAAGGTTTCAGTCCTCCACAGTGTAACGAGAATAAAATAAATTCATGCACCCAGGTGCTGAGAAAACAAGGCTAGTAGCTGAATGTCTGTGCCATATTTTATACCAATTCTGTACTCCTCAGTCAACTCCCCCCCACCCAGAGAATACTAAGGTACTTGTGCACCCCTCAAAGAAGAAGCAGAACAGTAAAATAGGAACAAGATGGTATAGCTACTGTACCCTAGAATGCTTATCACTTTCCTTTGTGTATACAAACAGTATCAAACCAAGAACACAAAACTTAGATGACCTGAAGCATAAAGTTCATTCTAAATTTTAGGGTCATCTCTATCCTCTTTTATTATTTTTATTAACATATGACTTCAAAAAGTCACCTTTTCCTTTAAACTGTAACACAAAGACTCCAGAAACTAAATCTGGAAGCTTTCTAAATAGTTTATGTTTTAGTTTTAATCATTCCTACCTCCAAGCCACAAAAAGTCATTTACAGAACGGAGAAGTTCCACAGCCATATGGTAGTGAACAAGAGAATCCTGTAACATTCCGGCTTGTAGACACAGGTCACCCACATGCTTCCGCATACGACCCTGGCAGCGCTTCCTATAATGTCTAGAACACAAAATGTACAGTGCAAAATTAACTCCGCTAAATCCAGTGCAACAAAAGACAGTGAATTTATTTGCTTGTAACACACATCTATTAATTTACCCATCACTGACTGGAATATAGTCATTATTTGCCCCTAATGAGCAAATAGACCAGTTCTGGCTGAGTTCTCACTACAAAATATAAGTAATGACAGCCACCATTAGAAATCATTGAATCATTAGAAATCATTGGAAACAAAACTCACATCTGTATATGTAATTCTACCAATGGTTCTGTCTGTACAAACAAATTAAGTGTTGGGGAGTTCCACCCAAAGGTCCTTTCCAATCCACTGATATCCTCACCTTCTGCTCTCTGTTTCAGTCTTTTCTGATAACACTAATTGAGCTGATGTCACAGTGGTGCAGGTCAAACAAAGCTGCTATCTTATGCAACTGAGGGATTGTAAGAATTTGGGGACACTTTAAAACAGAAGTTCCAAAATCAAGGAACATCTCATTTTAAATTAAAATCACACATCCATTTAAATATCATATACATTTATATACCAATCCACATCTAGACGGATTCCAGAATGGTGAACAATAAATGATAAACTTGAGAGCCAATAAACTTGAGACTCAATCCAGGCAACACAGGGATAGATATAAACAAGAACTTTTATTTTTAATTTTTTAATTAAGTATTTTGAAAAAAAGACTGAACATACATTTTCATGGGTTTGTTTATTACTTATTAAAATAATATTTAAAGCTTTGCTTTGTTACCAATTATTCCTATTTGCACTTTTTCTTTTAAAAGAAGAAGAACTGGCAGGCTGTATTCCAACATGCTTACAGGATTTTTTGTGAGGGATCACCAATTATGACTAAATATTACAAAATATACTAGGAGGAAAATGCATAAAAGCTCTAATTGCATCAGAGAGTATAATAGGATAGTTTGCCGCAACTGTATCACTTACATATGTGCAGAACAAAATACAGTTCCACCTGGAACAAGAACAATCTGAGGCTATTTAACTTGGACTGTGCCAATGTTATTTGAAAAAATAGCTTTGCTGCATATGCTATGTTATAAATTTAGAATACACAGAGAAAGAGAATATAATGTATTAGATTACTTTCCCACCTTTCTACCAAGAAGTTCAAGGTAGTGCAAACAGTTCTTTTCATCTACTATTTTATCCTCACAAAAACACTACAAAGTTCTTACAAGAGAGACTCATTATGTGTGACTGGCCCAAAGTCACACAGTGAATTTAGTGACTTAGTGAGATTTGAACTCACATTCAAATTCCATAATTTCAGGCAAACACTCTAGCTACTCACTACAATGTGTGAATGGTTCTCACCTGACATGTGCTTTAGAGAAATGATAAATAGAAAGTTTTCCAATATACACTGAATTAGGGTAAAAATCCGAATACAGTCATTACCATTTCAGTATTTAAAGATAGCTAATTGGAGTTTGAAAAGGAATTTTAATACAAGATTAGGATTTGAAAGTGCAGTATTTTCTGACTTGAAGAAAATACTGCTAGCTAGATTATATTCAATCTGGAGTTTATGTTTTGACAAACAGTTATTCTATATGGAGATATGTAGAGGGACAATAAAAGTTAGCCACTATCTAAACAGACATACCAGAAATTTCTATAGAACCATGTTACTATCTCTTCTTGATAACATATATTAACCATATCTATGCCTTTCTGAAGTCTCATTCTGCACACATTTTCAAACATGGGCAAAGAAATGGAGTTGCATCTCTACAATACTTAGATCAATGCATAGAACAGCTGTAAAACAATGCAAATATTTACTTCAAATCAATCTAATTTCGTGCAGAGAAGTAGTTCCCAGAGAATTAAAGCATAAGTCTCAATACAAAATCTTAGACTAAGGCAAAGATTATTTAATAGGACCCATATTGCAAGTATTGCATTTGGAAAGATGCAGGATCATGTTTTAAACCAAACCATTAGAAAACACAGAACCAGCAACTTAAGTATTAGCTAAGATGTGATACCAAGGAGAAATAATGCAGAAATTAAGTTTCTAAAAGTGTCCGTGCATTAGACAGTGTTATTAAAGCATTAGAAAACATTATTGCGGGATGTTGCTGCCTGTATCTCAGTAACCATATTTTCAAACTCAGTAATTGATGAAGTGAAATAAAGTTAATGCTAAGTATTTGTTTTCAAGGGTCACATATGAAATTAAAAAGGGAAATAATCACTAACATCCATTAACATAGCACTAACAAATTTACTAGTCTTATCTAAGATTTTTTAGAAAACCTTTTCTTTGCAGTAACCTGTCAAATTCCACTCTAGACATCCCAAAGACAGAATATACAAGCCCCCAGGAAAAAAGATGAAAGACTATCCTTTTTTTCGCTTTCTTTAAAAAAAAAAGAAAGGTGCTTCCTCTATAATTAATAGACTAAGAATATTTTATTCAAGTGGATAAAAGTCTGGGTTTAGCTGTGAATCTGATTTATTTTTCAGATATGATATTCTAAGTGTTGAAAGTCATCTTAGTTCTTCAAAGAAGAATAAAGCAGTATTATTTTAAATTGGTCGTTGTGGCAAAGAGAGGGACGACTGGAGGTCCAGCGGCAACATCCAGTTTCCAACATCCGGCTTGTTATCAGGAGCTCTGCTGAGACCAGATCACACCCATCCTGCGCCATCCCTGCACTGAGCAGGGGCTTGGACCCGACGGCCTTCTTGGCCCCTTCCAACTCTACTATTCTATGACTCATCAATGAGCTGCTGAAGAATTTGGGCAGGAGAAGGTCTTGTACCCGTCCTGCTTAAGGGATCCTGTGACCGGCTGGTCTGCCACCATGTGTGCAAAGCGCTGGACTAGATGGACCTTGGATCTGGGCAGCATGGCTTTGCTTATGTCCTTATAGTTAATCTACCCCACCCCCCCATTTCAAGCTGCAACTGAATTGGTTGTATTCCCACGTTTGTGACAGGACACAACAAATGGCAGTGAGTTGCACAGTGGTGACATCTGCAGCAGAGCCTCGGTTTTCATTGATTTGAGGCAATGGGCACAGCCATCATTGTTTGCCCTTCAGCAATTGCATTATTTGAAACTGGCAATACCAGGAAACCTATCAGGAATGTAGGGCCATCAGGGCTAGGCAATCCTAAACTCCTCAGCGTTCATTTGTAAAGCACAAAATTTGCAGTCACTCATGTCTGCAGAGCAATCGCAACGTTAGCTCTAAAAGTGCTCTTGCTAAGCTCCATCCAGCAGTGGGTAACAGCTTTTTATATCTCGTAAATTGCAAGCAATGTGTGCTGACTATTAAATTCACCCAGGGGTGTAGAATCAACCATGTGTAACTTGTGCAGTGAAGTTTTGAAAATGAAACTTTTCATTTGGAAATATGCAAACAGCACCATTTTTGTACTATTTTTGTTAGCCAATCCTACTGAATCAATTCAACAAAAAGTCAGAACTGAAAAAGTGATACATGCCCACTATCCATAGCCTGGGTTTAAATTAGAATAATTCAATAGTTATGTACCATCTAATATAATAAAAGTCACATGGTGCAGAATTCTCTAACACAAGGTGTAGAGACGGAGATCAGTCCCAATGGCTTTATAAAGGGATATAAGAAAAGGCTATCAGTGGCTAGAGGTCATGTTCCCTCTGTTAGGGCAGGGAGTTGTTAGGGAACATAAATGAGGTGTACTCTTGCATGCTCTCCAACCTTTATTTCAAAACCCTATATTCTCCCGCTTCTCATTTCCTTCCACTTTCTCTTAAAGAAACTGTATACAAGAAAAGAGTGGAAATGCACAAGTACAACGCTCATTCTATCTGGCTGCAAATGAACTTGGAGTAGTGTCCCACCTCTTGGAGCATTTAAACTGAACAATGCAGAAAAGCTATTAGTTGAATTACTCTGTTTAATATTGATGTTAAAACAAAGAAAATGCATACTGTTCTGTGAGCAAAGTGGTATTTTCATACAAGACTACTTTGCCACTTAAATGCTATCTTGCCTAGATTACTTCCTTAGATCAATTATGTTATGGACAAGTGCAGGTATATTATAGCATTGAAGAAAAAGGAGTGAAATCACACATTAACTTTACACTACCCCCACCTGTTCTTATGTAAATTTGGCCCATACTGGGCTCCTGGAGACCTATTTTCATCTAGGGTTCTGTAAAGGCCTTTAAGAGCAACCCAAGTTAACTTTAAACATGATCAACAATCATCAGATGCAGCAACCATTGAGGTAGAAGGAAATGGTAGGATTAGAAAAAGAAAGTGAAGGTTGTATACATTTCAATGCCTTAAATCTGGGTGGGCAACTTTTAATGCTTATGAGAGAATTCCTTTGCATGCAACAAAGTCCACCTGGGACCACGTGCCCATCTCAGAAATTGCTGGTGCAGGGCAAAAAGTGGCAATTTTGCCTGTGAACCTGTTTAGAAACAAATTATGCTTATGGCAAACTTCCAGGAGCATGACTCTGTCTCTGCTGTGCTCCCCACACGTCTTGTTTTAAAGAAAAACTGCTGTTAACTGGCTCCCACCACAGGGAAAAATTCAGCAGCAGACAATCAGAGGGGCAATCACACAGAGTAACATTTTTTTAAGGCCCACTATAGCTCAAAAGTGAAAGAAGCAGGAGCCAAATAAGTTAGAGCTGTCTTTTAAAAAAGGAATTTAAATATGGCACCTTAACGGAACAAACTTTTATGGTCTGCATCCAACTTCAGACACATGCATTAAAATGTTATCCAAATATGCAAGTGGAGTGCTACTGTGTGAACCTACTATGGAAGTAACTCCTATTTCCACTTTAGTCATACATGCATCCATTTACCATCAACTCATGAAGTACAAGCAAGCATGACTGCTGCCATTTTACAGATGGTGCACCAAAGAAGCATCCACACCATGCTGACCATATTGCTGTTGGCAAGATGCAGCCCTCAAGACTCTTCTCACATTCCAAGGTCAAATGTCTTCATAACTTGTAAGAGCAAACTAAATCTGCTAAAGGCCTTCCTAAGGAGTATCCATTTCTGCCATGATTTCAGAAATAGGCTTACCTATAGACCACAACTATAAATCTAATGCTGGCAACTAGCAAGAAAACCTTCTGGTGTACTGTGCCACAGGGTTATTAAAGCTGCAGTCAGCATAGAAAGGAGACACACTACTTTTCTGAATTAAAATCTCTTATTAGTGTGCACAAAAGAGACAGTATTTAGCTTGTGAGTAAAATGAAATCTAAAATGGTCATCATGGTAACAGGAAAAAAAATTAGTTCAAAACTCTGTTAAGATCGGTGGTCTCCTGCAGAATCATCCACCTGGACAAATCTGCCTTGTGCAAGTAAAATGGCTTAAAAGTCAGTGTTGTGTAGAGAAGCAATTAAATAATGTAGAGATGACTCAGTAGAGTTTCAGTGCCATAAATGTATCTGGGTCAGACAAAATTGGAAAAGCTCTAAAAGTGGAATGAAGAGATGGTCTATATAAGTATAGTTATATTCCTTAAAGTAGCTTAGTTTTCCAACTGCCATCCATACACATATGAACGGGTTAAAAGAATCAGAATTTCCTTACTGTGTTCATAATGATCATTTGCAATGATCAGAGTTTAAAGCTTTTACTCCTAACTGGAAGACAATTTCATCACATATAGGTCACCAGGAATTATCTCCTCAAATTTTTAAAAGCAAAACAAAATTGTGCAAAATGAATTGATGAAGATTTTCATGTAACAAGAAATATATCCATCAAGTTCATGTTAAGATCATGCTTAGCTACAATTGGTTGTAATGTCAGTCAAGCTTTAGAAAACCAGTAACAACATTTAGTAGCATGACCAGCAGAACTTCTCCAATTTTGAAAATGAACTGTTAAGAGCTTAAAGCACCTGTACAATTTTAAACTAAAAAACCCCACAAACTCAAGTTCTGGAGGTCAGTGGCTACTGAAGAAAAACATAATTATGCTATTACACCCACCCCACTGCTCATAAAGTCAAATATAAAATAAAAACAGCACTGTTAACGGGATTTGCCAAATGCCAAACGATGGTAATCTATGAGAGGAATCCAGGCAGCAACAGTCATTGCTGTGTTAAATAAAAATAAAGAAAAGCAACACTATATTATGCAATGGAGGCAAAGGAAGAAAGCAGCACACAAAAACTAGCTAGTTTTTTTTTAAAATATGTGATCAAAAGCCTACCTTTTGAGACCCAAAAACATACTCACAGGGCAGTACGAGAGAAAAAGAAAAAAGGAACAAGGAAGAAAGGAAGGAACAAAACAAAAGTTAGAAACACACAGGAATTGAAAAAATTAGACAGCCACATACATGCAAAAGTACTGAAGTTACACACAGAAGTACTGAAGTTAAACACAATATTTAGTAAAAGATGTTAAAAAATCCCATCACAAAGATCCAAAATTTGAGGAGAAAAGGCTGTTAATTAACTGGTCTTCATCAACATGTTAACAGTAAAAAGCAATGTGAAATGCTTTTGTCAGTTTAGTAACAAAAGAGGAGCACATTAGTGCCCTTGAATCAATTTACTATTTCACTGAAACACTATAACTAATTCCTTAAAAAAACTATGGAAATTGCGCTTTTTTTAATGTAATCCCAATTAGAGCAGCTTAGACCATTATGGAACAGACTGAGACTAAACCCTAATAACTCAAAATGTGTTAAAATGTATTCTATAGAGTTAAGCATTTCTGGCTTTTTCCTACTAAGAAGCCATGTCTCAAGAATACCAAACCTTCCTGTAATCACTCAGTGTATTTAAAGATCTCTTGGTATACGCCTTCTAAATAAGATCAAATACCATGGTCTTCTTTTTAGACGAACACAAGGCATGCAAACATTCTTAGAACCCACCTAATTAATGCTTTCCACAAGAAAAGAAATTATTTGGAGAACTGTGGAAAAACTGCTTCTCTCTTCCATTTACAGTGGTTTACCACATATTGCTTATATAAATGAGCTAAATTCCTTTCTTTGCTTTACTACAGAGAAATTGTTAAGAGTAATCATGGCCAACTGTCCCCAGACTTTTTGAACTAGATTAGGACTAAGCACCCTGGTGTAATCTCCTAGGAGAATTTAGCTATTGACATGGATCCATTATATCGCTTTACTTGGTGCAAAGTCTTCCCAACAATCCCAACACAAGACTGACTTCCAATATCAAAAGAACCAGATGTCTCCACCTGAACAGGAGTCTGATGTGGGATCATTATTTCAGCACCATGGACAGTGAGTAGAGACCCAAGAGCTGCTGAAGCACATGCATGTGGCCTGCACATTTCCTCTTGAACAGCAGACACACACACCTCATGAAAAGCTAAACTTGAAACTCTCATCAGTTTCAGAAACAGTTCATTCAAAGCTCAAGAGCCTTCGATGGGGGCAGGGAGGGAGTTAACCCTTGGGCTTCCAGAACTAATTGTTTAGATCCTGGAGAGTCATTTCCAAGACACAGTAAGTGTGGAGTGGAGGGGGAAAGGAAGCTCTCAGCCAAGCACACTTGCATCTCAACAAATAAGACTTGTTGATTTTCAGCAAACCAACCCTGCTGTTTTTGATCACTGATCACAAATAAACAAGAAACAGATTTACTGAAAAAGACCCCTGTAAAATGTACTGGGTAACTAAAGAAAAAGAGTTCTGTATAGAAATTTAATTAGCCAGAATCCATCAGGTCTTAGCCATTTGTAAGAAATGTTCTTGTCTCCAATATGCCAAAGACAACAGGCCCCAGGCTATACTATGAAGTACAGAAAACATAGCGTTGCACGTGGCTATAGAAGCCCTGCATTTATCTTTGCATTTTATTGTGTTTTCTGCTTTGTCATGCTCAGCTCCAGCTTACTTTTTTCCCCAACATTTCTGAAACTTTAGTTCCACTACTTCACACAAACGTTTCTTTTAAATATAATATCAAAGGCTGCCTGTTGTGTCAGCATTGCAATGGATCCTACTACATACTGTATCCATGTACAGAGAAACAAACTTGATAATACAGGGGCAATTTAGAGCTGATACACATAGATGATAGCACTCTAATCCTAAGCACACCTGCACAGCACAATATGCGCCAATCTATCAGCAGAACAGAATTTATGAGCACAGGAAATGTGTAACTCACCCAGTCACATTTCAATTTGCATAAATTAACTGCTCACTGCTATTCATACAATGTTCAAGAGAATCTAGCCTAGCAAAGGCTACTTCCTAAATAATGACTAGAAAGCACCTTGGCTCACCTAGCATCCACTGTCTACAAAAAAATTACTTACAGCCTAGAATCTAACATTGCACAAATAAGTCTTGGTGCCTCATGGGGGACTAACATGAGTAAGTTCAGCAGTGGTTCCAATTTGCATGTGACAACCAAAAATACAAATCATTCGCTTTTTCTTGAAACCAGTTGCAAAGCCTCCTCAAAACAATAAAGTTTTGAAGATAAGTTCTTAACTTTATTTGCCTCCCGAAAGTAAAATACAGTATCTTTTTTATTATCAAACAATATGACAGAGATGGATTTGGAATATCTCAAAGAAAGGTATTTCACTACAGTATGACTACTACTATTCCAGTAAGGAATAAAAGGAATTCACTTCTCTTCTTTGTCAACTAGGACTACAAATCACTTTCTCCTGTGTACTTTAATCAGTTATCAATTTCTGCAACTTGTAGTAGCTTAAACAGATGCTATATGATTACAGAATTATATAGCCTTGAAATGTTGGGCTAAAATATGGCAAGCTCTACAAAAGCTGCCGTTGTAACCACTCAAAATCTATAATTTTGTAAACTAACTTGTACATAAGTTTCCCATAAGAATATAGCAATTATTAAATAATCTGATGATAGCATGCTAGCTTTAGTTCATCTCCGAACTGAACATGCTGTCTCTTAGATTACTAAAACCTTTTCCCTGTTGATGAAGAACCAACCTGATAAATCCTGTAACATGAATAATTACACAGATCTAATTGTGATGGATCTGCAACATTGTTCAAAAAATACCTGATTTAAGTGCCTGGCATAAATTGTCCTGAAACACAGCAAAGAAGCATGAGTTGTTTTTGCAGACTGTTAACAGGCCACAAATGACAAGTCCCTCTCAGAGAGTGCAGGTGGGCTTGTAAAAACAGTAAGTAGATCAGAAGAGTCTTGCTGAAGAAAAATCAACATCTTCCACAAAGGTCAGTTCTGTCTCATTGATTTTTAGAGTTCTGTAACAATGTCAATCTACAAGCAAGCGGAAGTATCCTGTAGGCAATACTATACCTGAACTCTCAAAAGCTTTTGATAAAGTCCCACAACCAAAGGCACCTGGGCAAACTCAGCAGTTTTAGGATAAGAGGAAGTTGCCACCACTCATTTTGGATTCCCCTATTCCCTTTCAGCTTCAGCCTCATACACCATCATCCACCTCATTCAGCCAGGTCCCTTTTTCATGGAATTGGGGGAGAGAGCAGCTAGAAAAGAGGTAGGGAAATCAGCATCCGCTAACCCTCTTGCACATCTTCAATTAGATCTAGTTGGTCACACAAGAGGCATACATTCTACATCTGCAGTCCATGAGTAAATAAAGCTACTTACCTACTATCTGTATCCAGGCCTACAAAATCCTTCTTTTCGAAAGGAACACAGAGAAGAGGGATCTTATCTCCTGATTTATCTGTGGCTCTGTCAAGGCGTTTGGATTCCAATACAATAAAAAGAGATTCAATAAAGTCCTCTATTCTCTTCTCCACATTTTCACATTCTTCATAATTAGGATAAAATGCTACATCTGTTCGAGGCTGCTCTGCAATTTCTCCTTGAAGTCCGAAGACAAACAGACGGGAATCATAAAGAGTTGAGCCATATATTTCCTTTTGAAGGTGAAATTTTTCAAACGTCTGAGGCCAGTCCTTCCCAGAGGAACAGTCTGTGATGGTTATGAGCCCCACAACTTTGCGGTGTGTCTGAAAATCACCCCATTCGTTGTTTTCTGGTGGGTAGTGATGCCTGTAGCGGATATAAAGCACACGCTGAGAGTCATGGACATTGATCTGACTCACTGTTGAAATCCGCTTGTAGATCTTGAAAAAGCTCTCTTCAGGAACAATCCCGACTGGCTGGACCACGACTAGCAGAGTCTGATGGTCCTCTGCGCATTGCATGTAGTCAGGGATACTCATTTTGCTTCATGTGGACACTAATAAAAATAAAAAGGAAGGAATTATTTCTATATTTCTATGGGAGTACACATAATTTGTAAAATAATTCATTTTAAGAGCACATTACTAGATCTGTTTCTCCTCCAGATGCTATGGGGCAGGGGTCAGCAACCCACGGCTCTGGGGCTGTATGTGGCTCTTTCATCCCTCTGCTGCAGCTCCATCGCTCAAAATACGCATCACAACCGCCAATGTGCAACACCCGCTGGCACGCAAATTATTGAGCTTTTCGACCCCCGGTAGGCCAATCATGGATAAATCCAAGAAAAGTTTCAGAAGAAAACAGAGCATTTAATGGTACATGGGCAGATTCACTTGCTTTCACTGCTGACGAGGCTGGTTTACCAGTATGCTGAATACGTGGCGAGAAATTGGCAAACAACAAAAAGTCAAATATTGCAAGACATTTCCAGAATAAACACACAGCCTTTGCTGAAAAATATGGAGATGAGAGAAAAAAGGCCATTTGGGAACTGATGCGAAAGGTTGATCTGAGCAAAAATCATTTCAAGAAGTCTGCACATTCAACTACATATGCGACTTTTGTGGCCGCTCAGGAAAGAGTCAGGCATGTGAAGCCATTCACAGATGGAGATTATATAAAAGAATCATTCATTGATTTCATAAATGCAACACACTATAGTTTTTTTATACATAGCATAAAGGTAAAAAATGATATACACAGTGTTATCTTCATTTTAGATGTCAAAAGGGGTTTGTGGCTCCGAGTGTTTCCGTTTCCGTGGGAAACAGGTCCAAATGGCTCTTTGAGTGTGTAAGGTTGCCTACCCCTGCTATAGGGAAAGGCAATATCTGGGCTTGGAGTCAATATACCCACCCCATGAGTCATCTATGAGAGTGGCCCTTAAATTTTATTTTATTTTCGAAAATCTGCCATTTTTCTGCATTCCATTCCTTACCAATTAGAGGTCCAAGACAAAAGATAGTAACACTACAACAAATGTTGACTATAGCTAGAACAAATATTTACTTTTCTTATTCTGAAGGCAAAAGAACAAGCTGAAACATTTCTGAAACAAGTAACTACATATTACAACTTAGCCCTATTGAAAATAGTTTCTCAATTTAAAAAGCATTATTATCTGAAGTGCTTAGGGAGTATGGTGCATGACACAATTTTCAAACAGTAGATGTTTTGCACTTCTTGCCCCACATGACAACCAAAGCTCATCTTTAACTAATGTTGCTTGCAGCCCACATTCTTCACAAACCAGGAAATCCATGAGCTAAAAAGAACTACCCAAAATTACACAAGGAAAAAACACTGGCATATTGAGTCTTGTTTTCTTCTTTTAGCAGGAAGTTCTTCCCCTTTAGCAGGAAGCTGGGTAAATACAGACTGAGAAATTCATGCCTCTCAGAATACCAAAACAAACAAACATCCTGCGAAAGTGGATACTGTTAACACTTTCAAGTAAATTAGTAACAGCAACCATGGTCTCAAAACTTCAAAGAGGAATGATAAATAAAACCGTGTATCTCAAAAATGGGATGAGGATGCCTCTGAACATGTGCAGTATCTATGCCACCCTCACCCTGGGTGTGAAGTAGTATATAAATATTGTAAATTGATACACATGGTGCACAAAAGAACTCCAGGTTTGTCACTGGCTTAGAGAAAAAAGGAACCAGCTGAAAATCTACAGTTCTGGTCCACACTTAGGAAGCTTCCTTCACTACTTTTCCCTAACATTCCTATGCACCATCAACTCAGAGGTAAGTCCAACCATTTCCAGTGGTCTTATTCCCATATATTTACGGCTGTCATATTGTATAGGTACGATTCAACCTATTTAGCCATTTTTTTAAAGTCCTACACAGGGGAATTCGGGCATTGGCAGAGCTTTTTTTCCTGTCAAAACATGGTTGCACCCTGAACCACACACACGCACGCCTTGAACGTCAGGGGAAAAACAGGCCGGTCTTCCAAGCGAGAAAGCACAACGCCGTTGCTCATACATTCAAATTAATCATATTTGTTCTGGAGAGGAACTGCAGAACCCACCCGCGTTTGTCCTCCTCAGCCTATTCTCCCTGCCGCTGCTATTGGCATGGGCGCCACCTGCCTCCGAGACCAGAGCAGCTTCGAGGGGAGACCCCCGGGGTGAGCGACTGTCCCGAGGCCGGCGCGCCCCCCGCGCCTGCCCGCCCAGGGGCTCCGGCTCAGCCACGCAGCCGGGCGACGCAGCGGCTCCGCCTCCGCCCAGGACCGCTTCCTCCCGACGTGCGCACCCGACAGACGGGGCGGAAGTGATGGCGGGTCATGTGCTTCAAGCGGCAGGGGACGGGCTGCGCATGCGCTTTCCCTTTCTCCCCCCCCCCCCCCCAAGGCTGTGCCAAGAGTTTGTGTGCTGGGTCAGCTTAGGGTGTAATCTTCTGTTCGCGCCATGGCTAACCAGCTGCTAACGGGCAACCCGTGACAGCCGTCGGGACTACAGGAATGAAATGAATTTTCCTCTTGCAGCTGCTGCTGTCCGGCTGGCCGCTTGGGACGCTGAGGTCCAGCTGCTCTAGAGTGAGAGAGATGGCAGAAAAAGGGCTTTCGCTGGACGGAGCAAGGGTCCATCTAGTCCTGCATTCTATTCGCACACTGTCCAAGCGGTTGTCCAAGAGAAACCCAGAAGGAGGTCATGAATACAACAGCACCCTCCCAGCGATGTTCCCCAGCGACTCTGAGTAGCTCTCAGGAGTTGTATCCTTTCATCGCCTTCTTCATGAATTGGTCCAAACCTCTTCGCAGCCATTAAAATTGGTCTTCTTCACTACATCTTGTGGAAGCAAGCTCCATACTCTTAACGGCACGGTGTAGGGCAGAGGCAGCTGCGGTGTAACAGTTATGAGACTGGAACTTGGGAGATGTGGGTTCTAGTTCCCCTCCGTCCTGAAGCCAACTGGGTAATTTTGGAAAGTGGAAAACTATGTAAAAGACCTGGGGAGCATTCTTAGAGGAACAAAGGATAAAATGCAATGTAATAATAATTCATAACTGGGAACTGTAGTCCACAAAACCAAGGCGAACAATCCTCCATGGAGGAGAAAGTGTATGACACCTTTTCTGTAAGTCGTCCTGAGACGCCTTGCGTATAGAACGGGGTAGAAATACTTCAAATAAATCAATCAATCCGTGGCACCTGCGTTTTTCGCGTGAGTGTTTTGTCTTCACCGTGCCTACGGTAAATCACCGAAGTGCCTTGTGGGCGATGTAGTCTTATGTAGCCAATAGCACTGAACGCGTTCAGACCACGCCCTTCATCACGCTATGCGACGAGGAAGCACCCAAGAACGAGAACGCAGGGTAAAGAAGGCGGGCTCGCAGTGCCTTGTGGGAACGGTGGTTCTTTCGCCGCGGCGCCGAGGCCCGTGAGTAGGACGAAAACTGCAAATCCCGCGCGGCAGTGCGATCTCGCGCGACGAGCACGCCAGGGGGCGGGCGGTGTGGCCGAAATGGCGTCGCGATTGAGCGGAACGCCGGGCAGCGAGCCGCGGCTGGTGTCGTTGCCCCTGTCGCGAATCCGGGTGATCATGAAGAGCTCGCCTGACGTGTCCAGCATCAACCCGGACGCCATTTTCCTCACCGCCAAGGCCACGGTAGGCCCCGTCGGCGGCTCTATGAGGCGCGCCGCAGCTCTTGAGGGGCCCCGGGGAGACGGCGGGGGCTCTTCCTCAGGGAGCGGCCTTCTGAAGGGACAGATCCCGTTAATAAGACGTGAGTGTCCCGTGCGGTGCTCAGCAGCAGGAGGCGAAACCCCAGTGAGCGCGCCCTAGAAACCTCTGGGGCTGGCCTACCTCCTAGGGTTGTTGGAAACGATATGGGCAGATGCCTCCTGCGGTTGGTTGTCTTCTGCTCCTACCTAATTGCCATTCTCCAGAACTTTGAGCAGAGCGACGCCTTCCCATCTCCTGCTACTTGAGATGCTGTGAACCGAGCCTGCGACCTTCTCTGACCCAGCTTAGGTTGATGGACGCTGGACAAAAAATGCATAGTTCGGAGATATTCCAGCTTTTGGTAGCATGTTTCAAACTCAAAAGTTAAGATTTGCCAGTGCATGTTTAGTGGTTCTGGTTCTTCCTGAACAGAGACTTGGGGAGATGCCTAGTTTCATTTAGCTCCTCTGTAACTAGAAGAGCTTTTACAACTCTTAAAATGAATGAAGATATCTTGAAACTCAGACCTCATGGTTGGTACTTTGGAGTTTGTAGGAATTTGGCTTGCCTGATTTAAGCTGGGTGATCGCTGTACTTAGCAAAGGATGCAGTAACCTCAGTGATACACCTGACATATTAGCATAACTTTCTTTTTACCCTTAGGAGCTATTTGTGCAGTATTTAGCTACACATTCTTATAAACATGGCCAGGGCAAGGAGAATAAAGCCCTGACTTACAGTGACCTGTCCCGTACAGCAGAAAAGTCTGAAACCTTTCAGTTCCTTGCAGGTAAGTAGTAACCAAACTTTAGGAGTACCATGACTACATGGAAAATGTGAAATGTTCAGAGTTGAACATCAGTCTTGGAAAGCTGCTAAGACTTGGTCATAGCCTAATGGGAGAATTTTGGCTGGCATCATAGCAAAGGAAGCATTGCTAATAAATGTGCAAAAGGTAGATCAATTCTGTGTCTGCTGTCTTGAGCAAGAACTTTGCATCTAACTCCAGTTAGTGGATCTCAGGGTTTTAGTAATAAAGGTTTGTTGGTGATTGTTACACACCAAGTTGTCTCCAACTTACAGTGACCCTATGAATGAAAGTGCTTCAAAATGTCCTGCCCTTGACTGCCTGCTGGTCTCTTGTAAACTCATTGCCATGGTGGAGCATCAATTTAAATCATAATTTAAATCACTAGCCAGTAAGACCAGATTTACATCATGGTTTTCTGCATAATTTGCATGCATGCATGTATGCCTTATCTGGAAGTAGAGGAACTTCATTAAAATATTCCAGAACAGGGTCTTTTTTCACTGCCTGCTGCCATTATAGGTTTTCTCCTCCATGGAAAGAATAGTATGATAAACCTCAGACTATGCACAAAAGGATCCAAAGACTTGCAGATTGTTCTACTCAGAAGGTCTCACTTTAATTTTTACTGCTTGCCCCTCCCTCCTCACATTTAGCTTCTTGTGCAGATCTATTGCACTCCCAACAATCCTCTTCTGTTCATTGAATGTTTTGAAACTTAGCACTTAAGGTAAGGGGTTGATTCTATGTACATTTGCAAGGAGCAATGGGATTAAGGTATTTTTCTCAACTCTGTATGTTTATTTTGTAACATTTCCACTGTGAAGAAGAGACATTTATCAAAAAATTTAAACCTTGCGTGAATATGCAGCGCAGCCGCATGCTACATAATTAAAAACAAATCCTTATTTCATGATGAATAACCTTTGGACTATCCTAAATAGGAAGCTATCCTTAGATTTTTCCTTTAAAACATTTTATTTTTAAAGATCCTATTTTAATTTTTTAAATCCAATTTAAAATTTAAGCATCTGATTTATTTTTTTATTACTGTTAATCATTGGTTTCTATCCACCCTGCTTATTGCAGTGGCTTGCTTTATGAAGTCAATCCATCTCATTCTTGGTCTTCCCCTCCTTCCTCAGTGTTCCACTTTTCTAGCCTTATTGACATTCTAGTAAGTCTTGCCTTCTCATGCTGTAACCAAAGTGCAAAAGCTTCAGTTTCATCATTTCTGCTTCCAGGAAAAATTCTTGCTTGATTTGATCCAAGAGAGCAAACCCCATAAACCACAGGGCTGCTGGCCACTTTATATCATGAATGATGAACAGAAAACAACAACTTATAATCTGTCCTAAGGTTCTTGTACTCTGTTCAAGCCACACTGATTTCTTACTCTTTATACAAGTCAGTTTTCCATTGTTTTACTTTCTGTGGTGTTTTGACTGCGACCACATAGTGGTCACAGTAATCGTAGTGAATCTTCGCCATCATGCAGGGAAAGGCTTGGTTTTATAAACTATTTTTGGACAACTATCAGCATGAAGAATATTTTAAAGTAAATGCTTGGATTCTGGGAGTGTTAAATTCATTTTTGAGTCTTCTTTTCCATGCAGTCATAGTTATTTTGAAGCAGCTGAAAGAATACTTTATAATTTAAGTGGTATTATTCCAGATATTCTGCCGAAGAAGATCTTAGCTAGCAAATACATCAAAATGCTTGAAAGAGAAAAAGAGGGAGAACAAGAAGTGGAGGAGGAAAAGGAAGAAGGAACAACTGAAGAAGATGATGACAAGTCATGATGTACACCATGACCCTGTTACATAAATGTTTTAATTGATGTATGATCAAAGAGATTTCTTCAATCTCTGCATTAGTTGAAAATTGAGTAAGTGGACTTTCCAAGTAGTGGTTAACTTTACATTATTATACTGTATCCAGGATATTTTAGTGTGTCACTGAACATATACATGAAGTCTGGATAATTTTTTTATTTTTATTTTGCTCATATTGGGCCAATTTCAAAAGTCCTACTATTTTTACATTTAGAATGATGGAAATAAGAATATTTAAGGGATTCCCTGAAGGGGAGCAGTCCATGGAGTTCTTCACGGAAAACAGACTTGCTTCTATCATACATAACAAACTGTCCTACTTATTGGGGATCAAAAATGAGGACCCATCTTTTGTTTTGTTCGCAGCTATGTGCAGTGATGACATATTGCATGTTAGATGAGAGCAACCTTGCTGCCTTATGTGAATCTGTATACTTTAAAGGTTTATTTTGGCTTAGTATATGGCAGATCAGTGTATCCTCATTTTGATACATTTGTGCAACATGATTTTTTAATCAACTGAATAAAACAAGAATCTGTATTACAGCGGAAATACTTGAAGGAATGCGAGGAAAGCTTCTGTAGTCATCTGTGTTTTGTAGGCAGAGAGTAAAGAATGTTCTGATCAAAGCCTATGATCCCTAGCTTGGTGCCTGGGCAGCCAGTGTGCCTGTCTTGGCGCCCCCAGGTGTCCTACCCCAGTGGAACATTATTTTGTTCATTTTTTAAGTGGTTTGCAGGCATGGTACAAACCAGAGTGCCAACCTACAAGCCATATCTACTTGCAAGAATGTCTCTGAGCTCTGCATGGGATCCCAAAGCTTTTTAAGAAAATCAAAATTGAACTGCGCCCAGCCAGCTGGGGGGGTGGGGGACATTAAGCTGGACGTTCGTAATAAGCAACTTGAGGTGCTGTGGAGGGAGGGGAAAGTTTTGCTGAGCTATATCTTGTAGGGATGTGCATGTGTCCTACCGCACATGCTTTTATACATTGTTCAGTTTCACCTGTCCGCCTGCACTATCGGTGTTGGCTTAGGGTGGGGAAGGGGTTTTGCACGTATTTATTGGTGTGACTGTGCCATGTGGGTATTTCAGCCTGTGTCTTCCTGAGCATCATCCATTTGCCCTCTGTGGAAAAGGGATTTTGTTGTACTTCGGGGTGTAAATGTAGAGCAGGCAAATGTTTTTCTTCAAGAACATTGATGCTGTGGTTGGCCTGAGTAGCAGACACAAAACCTTCAGTCAGTATTTTTGGTCATGCACATATATACATGCCAGGGACTGGTTCCAGGAGAGGAACCTCGTGCTTGAAGCATTCCTCGGTGAAGCTGAAACTGAGGAACCCATCTTCCATCCAGGGAGGATTTAGAATCATAGGACATAGAAGAGTTGGAGTCCATGGTCTTCTTGGCAAATGGCTGTCCAACGGTCTGCTGGATGCCTCCAGGAGTTACCTTGATCGTTGGTTGCATTGTTATATAGTCGTAACAGGCAGGAAGTTCTTCCCAATATCCAGTCAGAGCCAAAGTTCGTATGACTTGAGCCCGTTATTCCATGTCCTGCATTCCAGCATGAGTGAAAGGAGATCCTGGCCCTCCAATGTCGCAACATTTCAGCTATTTGAAAAGTGCTGTCCTTTCCCCGCTCAGTCTTCGCAAGGCTGAACATACCGTTTTTTTCAACCTCTTCTTAGGTGGCTTTGTTTCTGGTCCCCCGATCAACTTCGTTGCCATCTGTACTTTTTCCAGTTTGTCTCCATCTTTCTTGAAGCGTGATGCCCAAAATTGGACACAGGACTCACCGTGGGGCCTAACAGGAGCAGCTCTGTCTGTGGCTTTAAAATATGAAGGGCCCTCAGGAATTTGGGTTATGCTGATTAAAGGAACAAGGCACAGGAGATGCATTGCTTAGGTGGTTTCTTTGGTAAAGGATATGGAAGACCCCAGGGGCACATTTCCTGACATGACCCATGCACCTATCCATTCTGTGAAAAGGACATTTCTTAAAGCTAAGTTTATATCATCCTGTCATGCTATTAGCAGATCGACCATCGTCTTGGGCTCACAAGTCCTGTGGGAATGAAACCAATAAACAAACAGCTCAACTTCTACACAGTATCAGAAAGTTGCAAAGCGTAAGGGAGCAATCCTAGGGCCTCTAGACAGAAAGCCATAAGATATTTTGGACTACCAGATCAAAAAGAATGCTCCAACCCCTGTCCCCGCTTGCAGCTGTGCCAGCTTCCCTCCACATTCAGGAATGCAACCTGAGGAGAAGCTCCTTCGAGGAGGGAGAGGAAGGTGAAGACAGCCTCTGCGGCACTTCCTGCCCTGCATTAGATGGCTGCCAAGACTTCCAGTCCGTAGAGTGTCACAATATGATTGCACCCTAAAGCTATCCTGAAAGGACGACATTCTTCCCCAACAATAAAGTTGACCGGGTGACTACTCTTGTGTGCAGACATCTCTTAGCCTAACCTATTGCACAGGAAAGTTGTTGACAATAAAAAACACCAACATGAACTCCCTGCAGAGGAGGGAGTTGATAAAAAAATTTGCAGGCAACTGAAATCTACGCTGCATAATAGAAAAGTATACATTTGAACTTGTAAATATGAGTAATTTATTGACATACTATGAGGCAGAAACAAAATTGACACCATACAAAATAACTTTATAAAATATCATTCACATATTTCATCAAGGTTTACAGCATTTTGGGCTTGTTACATGTCTTATGGTAAGGAGGTAAAAAACACTATGCTAAATCTTTAGTAGTAGTTTATATATATACACACGCACACATACACAAGAAACCAAAACAAAAAAAAAGTTAGTTTGACATGGGTTTATTGCAGAAGTAGTGCAAAGTATTTTACTAGCAAGCTGTAAAACAAACATGGAAAGAGGAACCACCTAAGCTTAAAAACAGGACAACAAATGTTGAATTTCACAGTCTTCTGAAGTGTCGTTCAAGCGTTTCTCTTCATCCCTCCCCCTCAAACAATTCCCTCTTTATCCATGTTATAGTGTACTTGGGGAATGGAAATTGCCAACTTAAATTATTCTGAAGGAAATTACATCTAAAGCATCTAAACAACAGGGCTTATGTTGTTCGAAGTCACTTGGACAGTAATTCAATCTCTGAATGGGGGGGGGGGGAGGCGTTTTTGGCATACCAGTGTGGCTCAGCCTTCCAGCTAGGTTGTCCTAACTGGTTTGTTAGCTTATTCCTTGGTCAGGATATAATTATTACAGGTCCAAGTTCAAAAGCAATCCCCTGTCTGAGTTATGTCCAGTAATTATAAAACACATAAACCAAGAGACAACATATAAATTGCCTGTTTTACAATCTTTGTATCCTTCTCAAAATCTACTCTGTAAAAACATCCTCTATGGTACAACGCAGGGCAGATTTCATGCCATATACTGAACTAACATCGGTCGGGTAAGAATATCTAACCAAGTGAAGAGAGACCAACTCTCAGAATTCTTCAGGGGATCCAACAAGTACAAATTAAAAGCCAGGTAGCCAGTAACAATAATAAAGCTAATGAAAGCCAAACAAAATGCTCTATGACATAAAAAGGAACAAAATGCAGCATATTCAGGCTCTTGTTTCAATCTTGAGGTACCTGTAAGTCTTCTTACCTTCTGCCCAAAGTACTATGGTACATTAAAACATTTTTAAATTCTTTACCACAAGCCAATTTACAGGACATTATTACTGAGAAAGTGCAACAATGCTGATCATTTATATGCAGCATATTAAAAGGATGGTTACTCTCTTATAAAATATAGCTTTACTTATAGACCCAGTGGGGCAGTTTGTAGCACACATTTATTTCCTGTTGATTGAGTCTCTCTGCAGCAAAAAAATCTCCTTTAGGGTATAGCTTAAATCCTGTCACTTAGGAATGTCGGTGCTCTGCTTTATTTTTTTATTTTTGCTTTTTTCAATATTAAAACTAAATATTATTTTACAGGAAAGCTTTCCATGCTGTATTGGTTACTGTTTATAAAGTCAAATTTCCAATCTTCAAAAACAATAGTATATTACAACTCAGTCTCCAAAAAAAGTAAAAAAAGTTCTATATAAAAAGGGTATTCAAAGTGTTATATAAAAGCATGCAGCAAGTTACTCTGATGTTTTTATTCCCATACCTGACATATGCAAACACCACTTCCACTGATTATACACTTGTATATATGCACAGCTTCGGTATTAGTAGCTCTATGTACACGCACGTTTTCACGAATGGTCAGAGTGCCACAGCCAACAAAAGCAGGTTCTGGACAATCAAATCTCAACTTAAGCTGAAGTACATGATATTCAAGCAACTGCATGCAGGCCCTTTCGCCTCTTGCACAGGCAAACAAGCGAAGGGAACCACTGACATCCTTCGCGTCCATACTAGGAAGTATAATTCAATGGTTTCCAAACAAGCCAGGATATGGATGGGAACTTTAATCCAGCACTTCATATTCAGGGCTGCTTTAGCGCCATTAACCATGGTTTCTTGTGAAAGCCTATGGCTAAATATGCATTCCTAGCTTGTTTCCCTGTTGGTATAAGGGGAGGAGTCAAGTGGATGCAGGAGGTTTGCACATGTCCCAGCTTATCAAGCCAAGATTTGATCTTCCAAAAGTGGCCGGACATGTCCCTGTTAAATGAAGCAAAGCTACTTCATTCCTTGTTTTGTGCATATTCATCCCAAGACTAAAATTCCAAACCACTTCCTACTAATCAAGAAGCTACAAAGAGCTTGGTGCATGACCATACAAATGTATGCATAGAATAATCTGGGATGTAAGTATCATGTTTTGTGTCTACTCAAAAAAAAGTATCTCCTCATTTACGAGCGTTCCTTTATGCTGTATATCTTTATAGTTTAATACACAAAAAATACACTTTTACATTTTCAGAAACCTGACACAGTTTTCAGTTTAGCTGTTTATAAGGATTTAATTCTAGTATTGGAGTATGACTTGTTTTTGCTATGCATTGGGACTCAACACAAAAGGCACAAAGAAAAAAATAAAATGCATTTTTGTAACACCACCCACCCACCCCCATATATCTTTTTCTTCAGAGGACAAGTAATCACATACGGTTTGGTCACTTTGGACTATCTCAATGATAATTTGAATAAATTAGCACCCAACTGCTTAGTCTGAGGTAGATCCAAACTGGAAGAGAGCTGCGTCCCCACCACTCCATTTGCCACTCTAATTTATCTTGAAGACAGAAGGATTTAATGTCAGTTACAAGATGCAAAAAACATTACTATTGCAGAATCCAACATATTTACATATTTAAAAATAGTCAATCCTCTTTTACACAACTACATTTCAGTTGGGGGAATGAATCAATAATTAATCCCCTAGCCCTTTAAAACAAATTTAATCGAATTACTTAATATTTAATCCATATAACCACAACATGCTTGGATCAACAGCATGACTGTATCCTGGAGTCAAATCCAGGCCATATAATTTCTGTAAAAAACGGGGGTAGGATGAATTATAGGCAGGTTACAGAGCCTCCTCAAAAACTTGGACCTGTTTTAAGGATGGTAACATTTAATTAAAAAAAGAAAGTCTTGTGCCTTCACAGGAAAAGAGCTAATCTTACACTAAATGAATGTTTTTGCATATTCTGATCTTAGACAAATTTAATACATTTGTTAAGGCTTAAGTTAAAGAAACATCACCACACAGCATCAAGCAAGCATGTAACTAAAGTACTTAAGGTACACACACTGCATTAATACTAGTTCTCCTACACAGAGCTTTTACAGATGAATGTATAGAGTGATGTATACAATCTATATAACGACATGGAAACTGTACAATGCTGCTAATGGGTAGAAATAAAATTATATATTCCTCAAGTGCTAATTTTACATTTCTACAGAGACGATTATTCTGTGAGCCTGGAACCCTGCCATGCTGAGGCAGCAAAAGGTCATAACCTAGTTAAGGCTGCAATCCTATACCAGCTTATCCAATAGCCGCTTCCTTCTGAATAGACATGCACATGCCTGAATAGACATGCACTGAATAGACATGCTGTAAATGCATTTATAGTTAGTACCACTTGAACAAGGCCCTTCACTCCCTTCCTCTTTTTCATGTACTTGTAAATTGAGTGATGATATTTTTAATCATTCAGAGACTTATTCTTCTTTGTTGGCAAGATAGAAACGGGTATCGGTAGAGACGTTCCCAGGTATTTCTCTCTTCCCCGTCCCACACTCAATGGTTTGGTTCCAGGCTAAGTTAGCTTAAGTTGGGTTTCAATCCAATCATGGCGTGTGTCTCACTTGTTTGAATGGGAACTAACTCTGGATCTCTCCCTCCCTCTCACACTCACTCACACCCATCCACAATAATTGCTTACATTGAACTAAGAGTTAAAATACTCCCAGGAAATGTCAGTTAAATATGAAGTGTACCAACTCAAAGTCAGATTCCATTATACATTCTAGTCTTGTGTTTCCCCCATTCTGTAGAAGGTTTTATACAACAACATTTTACTATTCTGGAATGACAGCTACTGGACAAATCAATCACTTTCATCCGCATGGGCTGGGGTCTCAAACTGCAACTGCTGGAATCCTGAGGCATTACACAAACAGCAAACCTGTGTTTGCCATCCAGGGGACATGCCACATAAAAGCAGAGCTATTCTTTTTTCAAACCCATGTGTTTCTCCGATAGGTATGCATAAAAGAGTTTTAGGTGTACATCTTTAAACATGAAACAATCCTCTGAGAAAGAGAAGACACTGTGACTTTTATAATACAGAGAAAAAGAGCAAAGAAAAATAACATACCTGCCTCCTGAGAAAAGTCTGGATTATCATCAGCAGTTTCTATCAGTAGGAAGTGGGTGGTGGGGTAGAAAATAGTTCCATGTGTTGTCTGCTGCCCCACACCCTTCTATTTCATTAAAAGCAACTAAAAAGGTGCCCACAATACCGCCAACTCACACGTAGAGGTAGTTTTCTTTTTTTAAAAAGAGGACAGACCCAATTTCTTTTCCCAAGAAACCCTAATTTCCTGGGCAGTCCTGAACATCCATGATACTGGGCAATGTCAGAGCTATTTGCATACATTGTTCTCAATTTGTTCCACTGGTATTCTAGGACCTTAACTGTCTGCAAGAAAAGATGCATGAATTCAGAAATCTCCCAAAAGAATTCAAGAGGTTTCCCAAAAGATCACAAACGCACACCTTGGATCTAGGCTTACTCTAGGAGCAATAGGAGAATAATTCCTCTCTTAGAAAGAATCATACTGATGTTGCATTTTAGTTGGCCTACCCTTTGAAACATCCTGTGGTCAGTCATGCAGTTTCCACAAGGTACTACCTGCAGTCATAATTCTTGTGAGAAGTCTCTAACCCCCTCAGCATAATGGAGAAAGTCTCCCTTCTCTCATGGCTTGCTAAGTGATTGGGAATAAAGGACAAAGACCCATCTTTGACACCCAGACAGAAATACCCCCAAAATCTCCTACAACACAGGACCAGTACAGATTCCACATTGGTTTCCCTCAAACCCCAGTGTGCAAAATCAGGAACCAAGCCCTACTAGACCAGACTAAAACATCTACCTGGTCCAACATCCCGTTTCCTGGTATGCAAGATGTCCCCTGCATTACGAAGGAGAAGCAAGCAGGGTATGTTCTCTTGCCTAAGCCTGCTGGGGACGATTGAGAGAAATACCAGCTCAACGATGCTTGCTATTTCTGGCAGCCAATTCAGAGCTACTCACCATGCCTGCCCATGTCATTTCAGGGAAAGGATGTGGGCCGTGATCCAAAAGAACTCTTAACTAGGAGGAACATGGCTGTAGTAAAGCACACATGTTGCACGCAAAAACATCTATAGAGTTTTCCCCAGTCCCATCAGAGCTACTATTTGGCATTGTCCAAAATATCAAGCTAGGAGACCAAGGATCCTACCTTCCAGAACTCAGGCTATACACCCAACCAAGTTCTAAAGGTCTTTACATGAAAGCCTACTTTCAAAACCAGACTGGGATATAGCATGTTGGAGGTCTGCTGCTCCGAGATAAAAATTCCCATCCAGAGATAGGGTCAGACCTTAAGTGGCTCTCTAGATATTGGCCAGTGTTAGTTAAAAAAAAAAAAAAAATGATGGGTACCTGCGTACTTAACTAGTGCCTGTTCCATTGCCCAAACATCAAGGGATGGATAAATATATGCTGTCGTGGGCTATCAAGTTGTTTCCATCTTACGACATCCCTGTGAAAGAATGGATGAATGCCCCTCCTTCATAACCCAGCTCAGCTCTTGTAAACTCAAGGTTGTAGCTTCTTTTGGGGAATCAATCTATCTTATATTTGGGAAGAAAATATACACTGACCTATTTGCAGACCACTAACAAATGTGCCTAATCTTTGATAGAAGATTACTTGTAAGGTTTCTCACAACTAGATAGTAGTTTTTATTAACATTCTTGACTATAAACACTATTAATAATGTCCTAAACTATAAATCCCAGGATGACTTGCATTAACTACCCTATGTCACAGTAAATGATTTATGGTTAACAGCCCTATAAACTGCAGCAGCAAATTTTACAGTAATAAGCTTACTGTACATATAAAAAGGATGATGCATTCAACCATCAGAATAATGTGATGATTAGAAGGCAGTTTTCTACAGTTTAGAGATAAAAAGCACCTTCAGCTGCAACCTATTAAGATGTTAGGTGTGAACAAATTGTTGTCTATTGAAAGAGAACACACTCAAACATTTAAAGAACCTGTTTTGATTTGCTTTTTGCACATTAAGAGTTTGTGTAAGTTATAATCTGTGTAGGGGAACTAGCATTTTCAAGGATATTTCAAGAAATGTTACCTAAATAGTATCCTAAAAATATTTAACACAATAATTTCAATGTAGATTCAAAATGTTTAAAGCACCATCAAATTACTTTTCCACACCTGGATCCAAATGCCGCCACAACTAGTTCTTATGCCCAAGGTGATGCTGGACCTGTTTTTTGTACAGCAGTTCCACATACTAAAGAGAGAACCTTTTCTGAAATAGTTTTAAAATCTAACAGGTCATTGGGAACTGCCACTGAAAGCACATGTCCAACCTGCTGCCAACATACTCTACATTTACAGTCACAAAATTTCCTGCAGGAGCACAAGATGCCAACACACCAAAACATTCCTTATTTTGGAACAGCCATGTGGGGAAAAATGCAATTGCAAGGTTAATCTCAGCTGTGCCATAGTCTCCTGGCATCTTTAAAGAAATGGAGGAAAATGAGCACACCAAATCCGTGAAAGAAAGACCGTGCCTCGCATTTTGCCAAGTTTACAGAAAGCGTCCTGTGGTTTCTAGCCAGCCTTGCTTTTTCTGATCAAGGATGTTGAAAGACCCTATATGGCACCCAGCTTCTCAAATCCGAAGGCAAAAGGTCATAGCAACTCAGGTCCATTCATGAAATTTGGCTACTTTCAGTAATGTCAAATCTCATTTTAGGAAGGAAAGCACCCTAATCCCTTTCAAGAAATGTAGGAGGTAGTCTTTAAACTCTTTGCAGTACAATATTCTTCACTAAGCAATCTGGACAAGTCACTACATTCTCTTTTAATACTTCAGGCAAAAACAAAGAAAGAAAGAAAAAGAAAGCAGAAACTTAAATGGGGGACTTAAGGTACATACGACGCAAACTAACAGATCCTAACATCAGGCTTAACATGATAAAATGGCTGACACTGAAAAATAAGCAACAGAGCAGGGACACTGGCTTATTTTTCTATGAGGCATGCCAAAAATAACTCAACAGTAAAGAGAACAAGTGCACCCTGGAGTGTCACTAGATAAAGACAGTTCACAGAAGTAGGTTCCCAAATCACAGCAGGTCATATGGGCCGTCCACTTAATTAGGATGGAGATTTCTGTTTGAGACTCCATCGGAATAGTTCCCCTATATAAGCACCACTGGGATACCAGCTGAAGCATAAGTCTGTATTTTGCCTGCTGGTAACGGGTTTCACTCCTCCTTCTCCTCATCACCACCTTACATTTCTGTACTGCCCCTAACTGAAGCTCTCTGGGTGGTTCACAGCATTTAAGTCACCCATACAGATTTCAACCAGGCCCAATCCTGCTTACCTTCCAAGTTTAGGTGGGATCAGGCACCTCAGGCTATATGGAAGCTCTCAGCCAGCATGAGCATCTGGTTAAAGCCACAGTCACATTAAAACATTCCCGGTGAATCAGGTGCTGAAGTTTGCACTAGCAACTTCTATTGGCACAATCACAAAGATGCTTGTTCAACTAGAAAGCATGGGCAATGGTTAAAATGGCAGAGGAACATATAGCTGATTATACTAGAACGTGATATACTGGGTGGGAGAAGTGTCTTGCAAGCAAAGTGCAAAGTTCAGAGAGGAACAAGAAAGAAATTATGGAGTGAAGGCAGACAACAAATTCATAAAAATACATAAAGCAAAATAAGCAAACTCTACCCTTCAAGAATTTGAAGCTACATAGAAACAGATACATAGAAGAAATTTTTATGTGCATTCTGGTTATCTCTTAATACTGTAAAATGGGCCATTTGGTCAAACACTGACCATTTCTCTCTGGGTTGGTCCTAACTGTACATACAGTATTATTCCGATTACTACAGCAGACGCAAACAGAAAGTTCATTGCAGTAAAAGGAAGTTATAAGAATCAGTGCAATTACATCCTGCTTGAGTTTTCTCCTAGAAATGATTACTAGGAGGCCTTTAGAAGCAAGTTCCCAATGTGTACAAATGTAAAGGAAGATAAACAACATGGTCTCAGTCTCAAAGAGCCAATACCATGTTGCAATCTTCAAAGCTGTAATTTAAAGAGAAGGAAGAACTGCTTTTGAAGTATACCCTCCATTTAAAAATGCAATTTAATCTATAACTACCACTGACTTGCAACAACTTATTTACATTCTTTTCCTTATGTGTAAAGACCTTATGGCTTCAGCAATGCCACAGGAGATGTAATAACACATATGGCAACATTTCTATCTACAATCCCCAGAACAAGAAACCCCATTTCAGCCACAGTTCTAGCTCCTTCCTCCTGAAGCATCAAAATAGAGATGGAAAGGTTTAATGAGTTATTTGGGGGCGGGGGATCGCTTTTGAGTAGAGGATATAGCTCAGTGGTACAAGTCATGCTCCGCACACAAAGGGTCCCAAGCTTGATCCCTGGTATCTCCAGGCTGAGTATATTTTTTTAAAGCTTGAATGGGTTCACAGGTGATGTAAAACTCCCCCGATTGAGACCCTGAACAGCCAGCTGTCAGAGTAGGCAGGACTGGGCCAGACTGAGCTTCCTGCCTTCAGTGATTCCTCGAAACTGGGGCAGCGCAAGAGCCATGAAGTCTGCATTACTAAGCACAGGAGAAGCATGTCCACAGGGCAGGGGAGACCATGTAGCCTCCGCGAGAGGAGACTGGATGTTCTGAAGCATGCACTGGCTTATTACCGGACACCTGCTATTCCATCGCCCTTCCTTTGTTCATGGTATTCCTTGTTAAAAGGTCTGTGGGGGCTACCCAGCTAATCCATGTTATGCTGCCAAGAAAAGACAGGCTTCTTCCCCCATGGTAAGTTTAGGCAACACATGGCAGTGCCATGTTTAAGAACCATAAAAAACCTGAAGAATTAAGAGAACCTATTCTCTTGTGATGGTTCCAAGACCTTGGCATTCTTGTATACCTCCCTTAGCGCTACAAGTTGTTAACTAGATTTTAGGCACAAGTGTAAGCTTGCAATAACTCTGAGGGAGTGATTATGTTAGGCATGGGTGAAGAGGAGGAACCTGGGAAGGGGGGGTCCCCACATGCTGGGAGAATTCATCTCTCCATTGCAACTAATTGTACAGAGGTCAGCTGCAATCACATGATATGTCCCTCCAAGTTAGACTAGCACAGCAAAAAGCCAGCACTAAATTCCAATGTCCTAGCCATTGTTGTAGCAATATTCAATAGGGCTGCAAACATGCTAATTTTCCAAGCACCGGAACAGTAATGAAAACTAGATGGCTCAACTCGGCATGTCTGCCAATGACCCAAGCTGAAGGGATGAATCAGGGAGCCTGGCTGCTCAAACTCACACAGCAATCCCAGAAAGAGCCAGGGAGGAGATTGGGTCCATTCTGCACCCGGACCTCACATCACTGCCTGCGGCTGACAAAGCACAGCCTCCGGGCAAAGGTCAGCAGGAAGCCCCACGTGCTCCAGAAGGCACTGGTGCTGTCTGCATCAAGGACAACTGTTTAAAAGGCACAAGAGTCCAATTATAGTACATATCTTTTAAAACTAAAATGGCTTCAGTTATCATGCTGGTTCATTGGTTTGCGCTCTAAAATAGCAGCATTTCCTTGGACTGCTGCACTCTTCTTTTATAGCTCAATACTGTTAATAATTTAGAACACGGAAAAGCTGAAAACGCAAAAGTTACAGCTGACAAACTTGAATCCTATGTGGTTTTTCCTTGACAGGGCTGAGGTATGAGGCCCTCATTCTTCAGTACAAAGTTAAGTGAATTCTTAAACATCAAACTAGCAGTAGAATAGAGAAATAATCAGCACAACTTAAGTTTAAATATGAAAAAATACTACACCAATGATAGGTGATGCAATTCTGCAACACCTGCTTGACTACAGGTCAACATGGATGCCAATAATGGTACTGATTAATTTTGTTAAAGACGCTATTAAGCCCAGGTTTCTCTGCAAGTTAAAGAGAAGCCATTTTTAAAAGAAGCCAAATTAGTAACAAAAGTTTGCTTTATGAAGCAATTCAAACAAGATAACCAGATTTAGAAGCTTTTCCAGGTATGCAACATGCCTGTACTTCTCAGTTTTTGTAAACTATTCCCCTCTTCTCATGGAGAATATTTTGGATAAAAGTGTATGAAATTAGTTTCACCTGAGATATTGCTGTGCTTACAAGAATCACTGCAGTAAACAACTACTTAAAAAGGTGTATTCTTTGTTTCAATTTGGAGTTTTGGTTTATGCATATACTATAAAAAGCAGTTCCTGTGCATATTCAGAGTGCCCTACCTTTTCAAAGTGCATTGTCAATTGCTCAAAACAAAATTTTTACAACCCCTCCCCACCCCAATGCTGAATTTTGCTAGACATTAGCTTGCCATGCACCTAACAAGGAAAAACCAAACACCATTTTTAAGGTTACAGTATACAAGAGAAAAAGAAAGAAAATGACATCCATTTCTCCTTTCTATCCCAACAATATCTAATGATCAGAAAACCATCATATTCCTTCTGCACAGAAAGCTATGCACACAAATACGGCTGCAGAGGCCAGTGACAAGACAACATTAATTCTTTGGAGAATGATCTACGTAAGCCCATGACAATCACTGTGGACATGCATCTGCAGTTAGCTAACAATAAAGAATGAAAATGGAAAGAATGAAAATAAATTGAAGTGGCTGCCAGCAAGAACCAAGAGAAAGGAGCTTTTAATTTAGGTCACTGCTACTTAACGGCAGCCATGGAAAAGAGCTCTTTGCTGTGACCCAGTCACCCAATTCTGAAGCGGAAGACAAGGAAGATTCTACACCTTAGCCCACCTCTTACTTGCTGGTGTCAGTTCAAGGAAGTGGAGAAGCAAGGGAAGAATGAACAATGCCACCTTAAGTGCCAGCCTGGAACAGGCAGCTAATTAGGGCAGAACTTCAAAAGCAGGAGATTAGCTTTTAAAACTAGTCTGCTCACCAAATCAGTGGTGGGCAAACTTGAGCATGACTTCACATATCAATCTCTTCCTTAACACTAGCTGGAAAGTGCAACAAATCCATAAACAAAACACAAAAAACTCCACATACTCTAAGTTAAGAAGAATATGCTGCCATCTGCTTTCCAGAGCAGAACGATGGAGACCCCACTAGGATCCCATTTTTCTTAAAGCTGTCAAGCTGCTGAAACTGCATACAGAATTTTAAAACACAAAAACACACACACACAGTTTAACAAAAGAAAATATGATGTACTCTTGCCCAAAACACCTGCTGTTGCAGCCGCATCCATTTGGCAACACGAGGCACTGCTCACTAGTTGCAGACTTTAACTGGTATATAAGATTCCTAACTCTTTATAGGCAACAGAAAGAATGTTTCCTTGCTCAGGCATCAACAATTAGTCCAGCAATACCATCAAAGCCCTAGCACAGCCTGATCCCATTTTCCCTACTTCACTAAATGGAGAAATGGGCACACCTTGCAACAGCAGCTGTTCTGCTTTTCAGGAGAAAGAAAATAAATCTGAGTTAATCTTAGGAAAGTTTCAAAAATGTTGAAGATTTGACATTAATTCGATGTGCCTAGTTTTTGCTTTTTAACTTCAATAAGATCAGATTAAGAGGAAAACATCCTGGAATTTGTTCTACAGTATCCTAGTAGTGTTCCTGTTGTCATCATTAGTGCAACAGCATTTGTGAATACTTATTTTTATGAGTATTGTGCAAATGAACGGATGCTTTCATTTTAAGCAGGTCTCCATCTGAATTAATGCTTCTCCAAAGATAACAGGATCTGTCCTCACCCCTTTCTATTGTATTCTATTCTTTTCATATGTAAGATCAATACTTCCCTCCTCAAGTAAACATCAGATCTCTTTCCATCCACTTCTATGTTCCAGATGCTCAAACTATATATTTGTGCTTGAATTAATCCAGAACTGTTCTTTCATGTCCACTTTGTTTGGACATCTAACAAGCATGTCCACATGTTGGATCTTCTATGCTGGAGGAACACTTGAATGTTCTTCCAGATACAAGCTAAATAAACTATACACCAGGTAAATCTCTCAATTCTGCCATGCAAATCAGCTGCATATTCCTGCTTTTTGAAAGGTGCAATACACCCAGTAATGCTACAGTATAATCTCTCTTCGTTTTAGATGGATGAAAAGCCTTGCTGAAATGAACAGAGAACTTACAAAAGCTATGGTTAATGAATTCTGACTCGGATTGCTCGTGTCCACATGATACATTTCTCATTTCTAAAATCCAAAGCATTTCAATTTATGATATGTTAACAGAACTATGTTTACCACTCCATAGTAAATGAAAATAAATAGCATCTAGTCTATCATGTTAATACTGTGAAACATATATAAATTTTACATTAATTCAAACATAACAGTGAAAAAGATTGTACTGTATCACCACAGACCCGTATTCTTTAGAAAAGCTTTGGAAAAGTAAGTGTCACAGTCCTACAGGACAAACTCCATGATTAATAATCAAAATGGATATTTTTTAAGGTTTTTTTTCAAAATGGCACACTTTGCTGATCTTTGAGTGGACATAATAAAAAGTAGAGATAAGCTCCTTTGTCTAACTGAAATAATTCCGTAATTCATTCTACAAAAAATTTAAACAGCACAATGAAAGACATTCAAGAACTTCAAAAAATACTTTTGCCCGTAGACCTTCACAGACTGTTCATCTATAAAAGACAGCAGAGGACAAGTCTCTTTTGCATTTCAGTAATAAAACATTTGTGAATGCATCTAGAATGAAAGTTTTCAATGGCACCCAAATTCATAGCTTTTTCCAGTTCCTGATCTTAAGTGGGTATTTTTTGATTAGTTACAAACAAGTATATATAAAGGCATAACTAAATGAGAAGTGTTTGTTTGTTTTAGCCCTGAGATCACAGCTCTAGATTTAGTACAGAATGTGGGTTTTCTTTTTTTTCTTTTCTTTTCTCCTGATAAGCAGCTTTTGATTTTGGCAAATCCACAATGATAACAGCTGTGCAATTTTATACAGGTCTACAGTTCACAATCAAGTCTGAAATTTCGGACGGAAGGCTTCCTTGCAAATGGAAAAACAATAATTTAATAATCTAATAAAATAATGATGCATCACTCATTGCTGGCTGTCGCTGTATCTTGGGCAACTGTTGGTCTAAGTGCAGCTGGTCTCCTGTGAATCCAACTCAGAACTGAGTTTCTTATAACATTGCAACATGTCAAGCAAAGTACATGGTGCGTAATGTATCCTGGTGAACCTGAACAGCCTTTGCAAGTGCTTGATGATCTCTGCCATTGCTCTGACCAGAAGTGTGACTTCCTTCAGCACTAGAAGAGGTAGGGAAAGAAAAGAGAGAGTAATCTTATTGGTCACCTCGCCAGAAATACATTTCTACATAATGCAGTGGTGATATCTCGCTATATATTCCCATGAGCCCAGACCACATCAACTGAGAAAAAACAAGCAACAAACCACCAACAGAACAGAAAAGGATTTAATAATTTAACTCCTAATATTCAACTGCTATCCATAGAAAAGCCCAGGTCTTTCAGCTCCAAATTTTGGTGACAGGCTACGGACAGCTTATGAGCGACGAGGTAAGAGCTGGCATATCTAGGTTTTCCTGCAATCTACCACACACCTAATGATGAGAGAACGTTCTTAATTTTGGTTTCCCAAATTAGCAAGGCTTTCCTTTCGACACAAAGGGTTCAATCTAGCATGAGCTCAGCCAGCATCTTGAACCTTTTCCCAAATTACACAGGAAAACACTGCTTACCATCACTCGCCTATCTGTTTTTTGTTTGTTTGTTTGTTTTGGGGGGGTCAGGGCCAGCCTGCCATTTTAAAACATTTTTCTCTTTTATTCTACAGCAAGCAAACATCAACCCCAACTCCAACTTGAATGCCACAATCCCAGTAATTTAGCTCACTCCAGTTCATCATGCTAAAACTAAAATATTATTTCCTGCCATATGTAGCAGAGGAATATTGCTAAATCTGTTGCATTCCCAAAACCTTAGCATGGCCGTAGGGTTCATGTTCTTTCAAATCAAATCCATCAGTATATATGCATGTTCAACCATGCAAACCTTTAAACCAAATGTTTCCGCATAAGTACCAAGTCAATGTCACTACAGAAGAGGAAGGCAATGCACTCTCTCTTGCTGTCGCTTTATTCACCTAGAGGGGTACCCCTGGGCACACCATCAATAAGTATCTGTTGGTAAATCTAACAGCCTGTTGAAAAGATACATCAGAAAAGTGATGGTGGATCCCCGTTAAGGTGGGAGGCGGGAATTTGCCTGGAAGCTCATGGGTGGCGGAACTGCGTATTCACTGGGACGGACGAGCTACCAAAAGAATGCCGTGCAGCCACAAAGCCTTCTGAAAGAGGCACAGACTCCAATCATGCCCACGTCCTTCTATTGCAAATAGCTTACCTATCGTGCTCTTTATCCACCAGATGATACCTGGCTCTGAAGGCAACCAGGTGCGCATAGTATGCTGGCGCAGGGATTGAAACAGAGCGAGTACAGCGTACGTATGTATGACACAGTTGATAGGTAAGAATCTGAAGCTCATCTGAAGAGAAACGATTGTCATCCCAGAGAACATGGTAGTGAGATGGTCTGCTTGTTCCCTGAAAGCAGATCACAAAAAGTGCTCGGCAAAGGCTTCCTCCTTCCATCTGCCAAGGCATGGCTTGGCCGAGTGCCCCGTCAGGGGACCCACAGAGCATTCCTCAAGCTGCCACAGGATACGTCAGAACTAGGTAAAGGACTGAGTAACAAACCAAACCACTGAAAATGCTTTCCTCGTTTTAATTACAATGCCCTTTCTGTGTTTTTGGGCAACCCAGAGAAATCCTGTCCTATCTTCTCCTAAGGCAAGGCTGGGAAACTCTTTTAGCCTGAAGCCCAGATTTGATTTTGGGAAAATACTCAGACACTGAATTCTGGCAAAGAGCTGGACCAAAGACAAGAGCACTACCAGCATATTGTAGCCTAAAGCTCTTACTTCCAGTAACTAACCTCGGGAGAGGCATTTCAACCATTTGGAATGAAAGGAGGAAGGAGAATTTCAGAAAGTCCAAGAAACCACCACACAACCGGTGGCTTGGGAGAACGGGGGACTGGCCCCAGGGGCTGAACGGGGCCCCAGCCCGAGTTTCCCCACTCTTGTTCTCAGGAAACCTAGCACTGCATTAGCACCCTAGGCAGGAACTGCACCTGCTTGCTTGCCAGCCCTAGCTGGTATTGGATGTAGGGAGATGCACGAAACGGACTAAGCACAGAAGAGGGGAGGCAAATCCAGAATGGTTGATGCACACCAGCTCTAAGGAAAAGAAAATGGAAGACAAATCGGAAATTGTCCAATATTGGGAAAATTTGTAATTTAGTAATTCAGTACTATAAAAGGTCTGACCAAGAGACACTCACATCACAACCTAAAAGATGTTCTTCCGTTTTAATAAATGCTTATTTAACATGTGGTCATCATAATTAATCTATAAAATGGCCAAAATAAGCCTAGAATGCCAACATCACATGTCCCTTAACCTTCCTCCTGGCTTATTTTTTCAACTGGAACCTCTTGAAATTTTTAATGTGTTTCTTTGTAAATTTCCTAAATTATTCTTGAAAGGACAGATTTATTTTTCCCCAGGAAAAATGGAAATAAATTATATTCTGGTATGCAAGAAAGAAAGGGATAAACGATAAATCGAGCACACACAGAGCTGAGGTGCAGAGGACACTGAATGGCCACTGCAGAGTTTCATTACAAAATGGACTGAGAATGTACCTGAATACCAGCATGACTACACAGGTAGAAGTCAAACTCTGAAGGATGGGTGATTTTTGTGTCCACTGTTGTACCTGCTGGAATGTTTCCACTTTTCCCAACCTGTGAAAATAACATAAAAAGAACTCATATTACATTTTTCCCTTTCTCTGAAAGTGCAGTTCAAAAACCAAAGGACCTACTTGTTCAAACCTTTGTTCCATTGTCCAGCTCAGCTCTACTCTGAACTGCTGGTACTTAACTTTTCTTCTGTTTCTGACAGACTTCTGTCTGGGACTAGCCTATTAATGTCATCATTTTGCAGATTCTCAGCTTCTCTCTAGATACATACCCTTTCATTTTTGTCTGTACAGAAGAGTCTGGTATGGTGCCTTTTCTGCACAACGATGAATGTAATCCCAGGCTGGTAGTCTTTTTCTAGCTTAATACATGCTTCTCTAATAGCCAGCAATTCATGATGGAGAACCTTAGGTGAAAGGAGACAGGGGTGGGATGGAAAAATGAACCATCCCGAAATGTTACATATGCACACATACAAACAGCAGAAAACACTTGTTTCCTCTTTTGGAACTCTGACTGCTTACGTGTGTCGAGCTCACTTCAGGTATTTTCCCCGCAGCAAAACAGATGATCTTAAATGTGCAAGAACACAGGACCTACCCTGCATTCTTTACTTAATGAGATTAAACTGGATTGTACTTGGAGCAAGATCAACACGGTAATGAAACGCTGCACGGGTCTGGGCATGCCAGTTGGGCTGACAAATACTTTATATTATCCCAGTGCTGCTTATCACCCATGCAGGATTTCAGGATTGATTCTGACAATTTTAGGGGCAGGAGGCAGGCTATGGGATCACCCCTGTGCTCTCATCCACAGACTCCCTTGCCCTGCTCCTTTGCCCAGTTTCAGTGGCACAAGTGTCAGTAGCCTAAATGAAACCAAGTACACTGCTGCATTGACTTTAAGAACCGAGCTTTAACTGGTCTCTAACACCAAACATTTTTTTTTAAATTTTGAAAACAAGTAACTCCACCCAGCTTATTCATGAAGTTCTGTTAAATGACTGACCCTGATAAATGGTACCATAATCTGAAGGTTTCATCCATGGGCACAACTACAGAGTGAGCCAATTCCAGCAATGAGTTTTGCCCGGGATCCAGGTTTCTTGGCTTAGCAGCCAACCACTATCTAGGGACATCACTTAATATCTTGCTCTTCCCGGGCAGAAACAGGGAAGGATTCTTGCAAAACGAGGTAAGCCCCCTGACAAGAGCCAGGGAATCAATGGGGGAATCCTTTCCATCTGTTCACAACCAGGAAATGGGAAGGTTGACAATTGCCATGAAGGATCCAGCCAATGTGCATCAAGGTTAGCGAGCTGAACGATGGTCAGAGGGGCCCAGGTATACACCCCTGTTCAGCCATGTTCACCAGGAGATCATGGCCTGAACTGTCACTCAGTACAACCCATCTCAAAAAACTGTTTCAAGGAGGAGGTCAAGAGGGAGAGAAATCTTGGGCGCTGCCTCAAGACTTTTGCAAGAAGGTGGGATGATGTAAGGCATAACTAAGATCCACCCATGAAAACATCTGTGTTTCCCCTCCTTAAATAACATTATACATAGAAACAACACAACACTGATGTAAAACCATAAAAGAAAAGGTGAGGGTGCAGGGGGGAAGGAAAAATAACCTGCTGGAACTGTCCCTCTGAAACACCGTCTCTGTAGAAAATAATCCGAGTTGGTTTGAATCGGGTTGATTTGTAGAACTGAATCAGCAGTTCCCTGACCATGGCAGCCAAATCTTGGATGATTTCTTGACGATGCTGCTGGACTCTCACAGTGGCACAGTATCGATTAGGGTGGGCATCCATACTACCTACAACCTGTTGAAGAGTGTTTTAATAAGCAAGTGCGTCTAAGAGCCCGATGGCCACAAGCATGGTTCCCCTCAACCACAGCAGGATCCGATCCCAGCTATGAAGCCAGATGCAAAAGTGGGATGGATCTCCGTACAGCTAAGGCAGACGCAAACGGCCCGGCCATTTGTTGCTCTCTGCAGCCAGCCAAGCCATCCCGTTTTTCCACAGTGCAGCCGATCAGCAGTCTGTCTCCTGTGCGTGAAGTCAGGCACACACATCCAAGAATGACAACCTCTTGCCATCCGACAAAAACCTAAGCACACTAAAAACCGATCAGCCAGCCGTAAATAATTGGGGAGCTTGAACAATGAGATAAAAATCAAAAGCCCAACAAAATAAACCAGCGTCGGTTGCATTTTTCTTGGTGGCAGGCATGCAGCAAGCCCTCACCAAATGACTTTATGCCTAGGTGAGAGGAAGAAGAGAGATGCTGGAACTATCCGGACCATGTTTTACTGCATACAGTGTGTCACGGAAGTAGTCCTCTTTGTCCATTTGGGGGTTGTAAGCTCTGACAAGCCCAGCGAGGCATCACAAACTTGATCCCCAGGGCTAAAGACCCCTCAGTGCTCCAAAGAGCCACAACACTGCATCAGCACTGGAATCACGTGCAGAGCTGGGATGCAGCTGTGAGGCTGCCTGGCTCCCTTGAGGTGGCAAGGGACTATCAACTGGATGCCTGCTCAAAAATCGCAACTGCGTTCCCCCCCCCCCCATCCACTCTGCCTGCCCTGCAAACAAGGAAAACCTTGCTCCAATGGGATTAATCTGGTTCAGCCAAACAGACATGGAACCTGCAACTGTTCACTACGGTGGAATGAGAAAAACTAGCTTTGAGGCGGCAGTGCAGTGTGTCTTGCTGCTCCAGCCCCTGAATGAAGCCTTCTTTTAAAAAGCCCTACAAACTAGTATTTATTTCTTAAAATTCTATAGCACCTAATAGCTGAAGCTCTCCGGGCAGGTTCTTAGTCGCCAAAGATGACTGTAGTGCAATAGAAAACAGTAGACCAAGTGCCCAGTGCTCTGAACCCCTTTTCTATATTCTCCTTACGTAGAAATATTTTCCATATTCTCTCCATGGAAGGACAATATAGAAATATAAAATATAAATGCCATGCAATCAATATATTTGCATACACACACAACACAATACATGGCTGGTCTGACTGATACATAGTTTACTCACCGCAGCAATGGATGGCTTTTTCCCATCTCCAGCTGGTGGATGAGTAACATCTGCGCCCAGGAAAATTACGGGCTGCTGAAACACGGGAGGCCTAATTAAGAGAAAGGACAATAATACTGAGCATTTGTGCAAAAAGGGTGAGACAGACAAGCCCACCTTTTCTTGCTCTACAGGGACATTACAGGAAGACTCCTCACAGGTGCTACAGTGAATGATCTCCAATCTTGCACTGGGCTTCAAAAAGCATTTGGAAACTGCAGGAATTATCATGCCTCTGAGTGCTCGGAAAGCCGGTGTGGTATCAGGAAAGAGGCCCACCCTTTCTCCAATTCAGGGAAGGCTACTGAGCCTGCCAAAATGTGTGCACTGCTGCCAAATACTGTACACACTAGCAGCACGTTTGTTCAGCCTTTTCACATACCACGTATTTCAATTAGGGATCTACATATTTTATTAAATCTATTCTATTTTGAGGGTTGTCAGAAGTCTTTCAACCTTCTAGTCACTGTTTGACAGAACTGTGTTTTTTCCCCTTTTCCCAAACTTGTGTTTATGCACACTAGCACAAATGCGTATTTCCAAAAACATGCAAATCCTCCCAAAATGCGCATGTTCACACCTTAACCTCCAGGGGAAGTGCACATTTTCAATTGGTATGCTCTTCCTTTTTTTCTACAACTAAATGTGCATTCAATTCCAAGTAGTAAAAAAAGTCTCTAAGTCTGTAGTATAAATGCAACTTAGGAAAAACCAATCTGCTGCAGAATCCATGGGCCACATATACATCTGAGCTTAGCTGACTCCACTGTGAATTTCACTGAGAGCTCTACTTTCAACAGCAGTCAATGACTGCTCCAATTAATGCTCCCTATATTAAACTTGGCAAAGGGAAAAACATTTATCTTCATATGGGAGCCTTGTTTTAGAATGGCTACTGAGGGATGATCATCTCAAGCAGTAGACAATTTTCACAAAAAGCACTGAAATCCATAGTATGTCCAGAGCTGAATATATTCAACATATTCAAGAGCTATTTTTGCTGAGCTCTAGCATGCATGTACTTTTCTGCCTCTCTGAAGTCCCCATCAATGCCATGTAACAAGTGAGCCACCCAGAATTTGGCTGAGACTTATAGAGCTGACATAAATAGTCTGACCAATGCCTGTCTTAACCTGGTTTTGAACCAGAAATAGCCTTGTGGGGAACTTTTAGTGAAGCTAGACAGAGGGAGAGGAATGATATGCAACTCGGTGAAAGAGACTAATCCTAAGCTAGTGGATTTTCCACACTCAACACTATCGATGAAGCTTCAGGTGACACCAGTAAGCAGAGTGCCATTTATCAGTTTCAGCTGATTTAACAGCTGCACTCCTATCTGGAGAAAGCAGGCCCTGCCAGAGTCAGTCATAGCCTAGTCACGTCCAGACTAAATTACTATGATAGGCTTTCCTGAGGACTGGCTTTGAAGAGCTTCTGAGGCTTCTGCTGGAGAACAGAAGAACAGAGAACAACTGCCTGTGGGGACTAACAGCATCCCTCCTCCCCCTGCTGTAAAGAGGACCTAAAATGCTTGCTTTTTACAGCTATTTTCAACTCAATCAGCTGAGGCTGGCCTGTGCTTTTGTGCTGTAATTTAAATTTCCTGTTGTTTTAACTGATGGCTTTCTGGCTGAATTGTTACATGGTCTTATTGCAAATTTTGCATTCTATTCTTATTTGCAATTATTAACATTTTCATCATCCACCCTGAGAAAGCTGTAAAGTCCTGGAAGGTGATATAAACTTCACCCTTGGGTTCAACACAACAAGATGCACATTCTTTTAAACCTGAACTCTGGGGGAGCAGAGATATTTTAACGTTCAACAGCCTGGCCATCAAGACTGAATGAACAAGATCACTTTCATTCTGCCCCTCTCTCTCATCCAGCAGAAATCGCCAAGACTGGGGAGTGGTTTTGTACTATATAAATTAGAGCGCTAGCTCAGTTTCCAGCTTTTCCGTCTACAGCACAGTTCAAAGGTTTTGGGTTTCTCCCTTTTTACAACACATTAATTAAAATCTAGCCATGAAAACCAAGCTACTCTTGTTTTAAATAAGGCAATTCTGCAGGGCAAAATGACACTACGCTAAATACAATTACAGTATACCCCCATGAAGTCGCGGTTCAGTGTTTGCGGCCACAGTCTTCGCGGAATTTTCCTTGGAACTGAACTAATATTGTTTGCGGAAACCACTGATTGGCTGCTGCCCTGTGACACATCTCCGGTGTTCACTAAGTGTTCTCCGTTTTGTTCTTCTTGAAGCCCTAGGATGCCGCCCAAACTCCCCGTATCTTCTAAGGCTTCTGGCAATGAAACTAAGCACCAGAAGAAGTTTAAAACACTCCAGGAGAAAGTTGAACTACTGGATTTGCTCCGGGAACTAAAAAGTTATGCCGCAATAGCATGCCATTATAGCATCAATGAGAGCACCGTATGCTACATAAAGAACAAGGCAGTGACATATTTAGGGTTTAAACTATAAAAATAGGCATTTTTACCACATTCAAAATTCACAGTTTTTCACAATTTGTGGGTGCTCTAGGAATACAACCCCTGTGAATTTCGGGGGACTACTATACACTCCAGAAACATGGAAAAACCTAACATGGCAGAAGCACGTTTACTTCTCTTCACATTCATTCAAAGCCTCTCTCAATGCCACTGAAAGCGGAATCATCTGCACACTAACCCAACCCCCACTTACCTTCCTTGGGGCAGCAGAATGTTATTTACCCCTCCCAGTTTAACATTGATCTTCAAGCACAGATTGGAAAGGGTCTGTGGGGTTGTCCTTTGCACATTTTTCATCTGCACGCACTGGGTGGCCATGCCCAACACCGTGTCGCCAACACGCTTCACCTCCGCTGCCAAGAAAGAAACAAACCCAGTTAAACCCCTTGATCACCATTACAGGTCCTCTGCCTCTGGAGCATCTCTCACTGCATTGTGGCTACTCGTCTGTATCTGCAGATGCTGTCTGCAGTGAGGTGGGAGACTGGAGGCCTTTCAATGGCACCTACGTTGCTTTTTCAATACCATCTGAAGATACGTGTTGTATTTGTAAAGCGTTTTTGTTTCAATTTTGTTGAAAATGTTAATGCGACTTTTTTATATTTTTTATTTATTTTATATCGTTAATTTTAATTTTATATTGTTATTTTTGTATTTTATTGTATTTTATTATGTTGTAAGCCACCCCGAGGCTTCGGCAAGGGGCGGCATAGAAATGTTTTAATAAATAATAAATAAATTGTTTTTAACGTACTTGGTGGGCTTCTCCCTAGGAAAATCATCCTGGGAAAGATTGGTTTATTAAATCGTATACAAATTTAAAATGCATCAAGGTAATGGGTTTTCAGTGGGAAAGGGATCCGTTTATATTAAGTTCAGAGCATCTTCTTTCATGCCTAAAGATGGCTCTAAGCAAATGAAGATGCGTAATGCCTCTTGCTCCATTTTTAGGCTGCTGGGAAGTCCCAAGTCGACAATGCGAGTGGGATCGTACGGCATTCTCACACCCAGCTTTCATAAAAGACTCTGCGGCAGTACAGGCACAAAAACTGCACATACTGCAACTACACGTTTCTTTACATGCCACATACCAAACTGTTTCAGAAGTGCGTGGTAAAACCAAACAATCATGCCTAGGGATGCGAGATGAATTAGCATGCTTTGCATTTTAATGCAAAGCAACTAATTCAAACTTCCTGAAATAATATGCTGACTGGGATGCAATTATCCTTAATTATTTGTCTTTCTCCTAAGTTTGCAAAGCACTATGCAGATGGAAATTGCTGACAAAAAGTGCCTACTTTAGAGGAAAATGGCACACAAATGTGCCTAAGATATTTGTACATATGAGAACAAAAAACAGCTTTCATGAAGACTTAAAAATTGGCAAATATTTGCAGAAATGCAAGGTAACCGACCTATGTTTTAAAAAATGTGATTACAGAATACAGAACAGACTAGTTGCCCGTTCTGAGCAACTGAGCAAAGGCCCAAATTAGGCACTCCCACTGAGAACAGTATGACAATATAAAAGTACATACACAAGCAAGCATAAGAGAAAAAAGAATCCAATTTATTTAGAGAGTTCAACTGTAAAAACTGGGAGGGGTGCAATGACCTGCTTTTCATAGTATTGCACAAATTAACACATGTGTGCCAAGTATAACAACCATCCACTGACCATAAACTGGAGTTTTTCCGGGCAAAATTACTACCACAAGCTGCAAGCCGGCGTAGGTGTTCTTCAGATGTCGGAACATTGGCTCCACACTATCAGCTCCCTGGGCATATTTACAGAAACAGGGCTGACCCTGGATGGGCATTCCTGCATCTCTTGATATCTTCCGCAACTGTTCTGTGAATGACCTAAAGAATAAAAAAGAAGTAAGAGACATATTTAAGGGAATACAGACTGTGCTTTACATTTAACTAGACTAAAATGGCCTTGCTGGCATGAATGACAATCCTGGATTTCTGATGGAACAGCCTTTCTATTCTGATTCATATTGTAAGAGTATATAACTAGCAAGGAAATTCAAACTTCCCTCCTCCACAAGTCAAACTACTACATTCCAGCTGCCATCTTTTCTCTCCCACGCCCACAAACACACACAAGCTTTCAGGGATCACAGCTGCTTAGCAGCTTTTACTTTCTGGGGTACTGCAAAAATGGTTACTGTAGTTCTTGTTACTTCTTTTATACCGCCCTGTGCCTGAAGCTCTTTTGTTTTTATTTACTGAATTTATTTACTGAAGTACCTGGAATGTGAATTTCAGAAACAGCAGGAGCAGGCCCATATCCCCAGAGGTTTATAATCCACAGCTGCAGCTCTATGCAGACTTAGTTGGAAGTAACAACCCTGAAGCCACGGGAGAGCCTTCCAAGTAAAACTGTAGAGCTCTACAAAAAATATCCATGGCCTGTGAGTCTCACTCTTCCTCGCCATTACCTGTGCTAGTTAGTGCAGATGAAAGCTGCAGTTCAAAAACACTTGGCGGGCCATCACAGTTCACCCTAAACCCTAATGTAGGTTTTATGTCTTTTCAGTCACTTCAACTAGCCAGTGAAGAACATAGCCTTAAAACTATGTAACATTTTCTTTCAGCTATTTATATACAGCACTTCATCTGATGGGCCAGTCACAAAATGCATTTCCAAAAGCCTAATAAAACCATAGCACACTGTAACAAGCAGCAGCAAATATATAAAATAGGCGCTTCACTAACAGTTTGGGGAAGGTAGGTTCTGATTTGGTGGAGAAATACAAGGGCACTAGCTGTGTTTTCACGGGGAGGCTATTCCACAACAGAGAAAGCTCTTCTCCTTGTCACTGCAAGTATTGTAACAGGTTCGAGGAGAAGAGCATCCTCTGAAGCATTCAAGGGCCTGAGAGGTGACAGAAGGTGGTGCTACTTCAAATATGGGGTCACTACATATTTTAGGCATTTCTGCTTACAATAAAAGTAATGGCAAAACAAATGTAACACTAGTGTATATTGGCAGGGGTGGACAAGTGGGAAAAGGGTATTGGGGATTTTTCAGTTCTTCAATTATACCAACAGTATTTGTTAAATTCTGGAGTAGGGGATAAACTTCATCATTATAAAATGTTCAAAACTAAATGGCGTATCCTGAGGGCCATATTAAGAATGCGTGACGAATCCATTTGGCAGTGAGCATCCAGCTAGTTCCCCAGGCTTGCCTTGGCTCCCTGGACTCCAGTCCACTGTGCAGCAGTCCCGAGTCCACGTTCCGGGCACACCGGACCCTTGCCAGGAACCGAGCCCCTCGCAGCACGCGAGCAGCACGCCTTACTGCCTGCGGCCACCACTGTGCCACCACATCAGATGAGCAAGAGGGACGCTGCCGGCGGCCATGCGGGGCTCACCAGGCATGGAATCCTACGTGGCTGCAGGCAGCGCTCCTCTTCCGTGCCCCCTGACGATGAAGCGGGCTGCTGCTTGCACAACTTTAGTTCTGCACGCATTGGTCTGTGGGCTTCCTCTTGGCCAGCTCATCTTGCAAGCTCAGGCCAAGCACAAGAGAAAGTCCACAAGTGCTGGAGGGACAGATTCCACGAGGGTTTGTCCCAGCCTTTGGCCATTCACATTTAATAATTCCAGATGCTGTAGTAACACATTCAAAATCACGGGGAAGAAAGTACTGATTGAGTAACATGCTTACTTGAGGTGGACTTCAGTGCACTGGCGCTGTGGAGCAAAGCAGGCAATTGCCCAGACCTTTATTTCAATTCCAGTGTGAAACTGTTTGTTCCTCATATCCCAAACTCCTTGAACTGGTGTAGCAATTGCTTTGTTCTAGAAACAGGAAAGAAAGCAGTGGGTGGTTTACTGCAGTGAAAGAACACTGCAAAATTCAAAATACCTTCGTATCAAGCAACTGTGCTCTGGAAAAACCATAGAAACAGTCGTTTACTGTTCATTCAAGTGTCTTTATCAGAGGTCTCCCTTGAAGAGGAGTAAAATGTATTGCACAGTCAGAGTTCTGTATCCTCTTTTGCCTGCAGAGCCACCAAAAGATTACATTGGTAATTCAAGAAAGCAGATTTCAGCAGAAAGAAAGCTCAGTGGCACTGCTGAAAGTTATCAGGGTGGTTAACAGCACTCAGGCTTTTTTCTCTGCCAGATGTAAGAGGGCATCATTTGCAACTGAAAGCTCAACTGAATTGTTCAGAGCGCGTTGGATCATCTCCAAGAGAAAGCCGGTGCAAAAGATTTCTCTTACTAGCGCTACTCCAATGGGAGGGGATGTATGGACAAAAGAGTGCCTTGACTGCAGACAATCAGAGAGAGCTTTCACACAACAGCATCTGCAAGCCACACAACTGTGCCATACAAAAAAATTGTGGCAAACTCTATTACTAAGCATGATTCATTGTCCCAATAGAAAACCAAGATGAATAGAAAAGAAAGGCCCATGTTTGCACTGGGTCTCTGTTCACCTACCCTGCCTCCATAGAGAATTGAAGGAGGCTGCAGAACCCGACCGGTCACATCAGTCATTTCATCCTTGACCATAATTCCAAATTCTTGAACAAAAGGGTCAGTATTAAAACTTGCACTTCTCATCTAAAAAGAAAAGAAACCAATAAGCGGAAAAATCCTGCAGTGCAGCACAATGTGAAACCCTCAAATATTGTACTTATTAGCTCTTAATGCTACAAAATAGGCAGTCCCAATGTTATGAACAGGCTGTTCCGGAGAAAATGGAAGTTCATCTTGAAGTCAAATTTGTGGGGGTTAGGCGTTCAGGACCCCCATGAAAGTGGTAAAGCCATGAATACCTTTACCCTCACACACACCTGCCTCAAGATTATACCTTGAAAGTACACTCATGAGCTGTATGTAAGGTATCAGCTTCCTTTCCACACAGAACATGCAACTCTAAATGCTTCCGCTTCCCTGCTTCCAGAAGGAGAGAGGACCTACCAGTTTGCTAATCTCTTCTTGACGGTCTGGTGCTGATCTAGCCGTTGCCCTTATCATAGTGGAAGTTTGATTGTCTGTCAGCTTCTTTATACACCTCTGTCCTGCCACTATGTTGCATACCTAAAACAGTAGAACATACAAATTAGTTTTTCAAATTATTATGATGCATATTATCTGCTACTGCATGGGCCTTCTACCAGCACCCCATCAAATGAATATTCAACGCCACACCTGCTTAGCTTTCAACTGCACTAAGAAAGGCTCCTAGACCATTTATGAGTCCCACACAAATTAGGTTTTAAAAGCTACCAAAGACCAGAACAAATGCTGCACTTCAGATGCTTTGTTTCGCATCCCACCAGTCTAAGCCAGCCTGGCTAATGTCCAGAGAGTCTTAGAGGTGTCATCCAAAACAACTGGATATCACCTGGCTGGAAAGAGCAAGATAGAGCTTGATCCAAGTCCACCGCAGGCAATGTGTTGGCATATGAAATGTTCCCCAAAGAACATGACAGCATCCTATACACACCTGTATCACACCAGGTTATATTTGGGAGAGGGCCAGTGAGTGCCTGTCTGCTCACCATATCCTTGTCTAGCTTCCCTCTCTCTTTACCTGCCCAAGGAATGCAAATAAAGTGGATTCAGAAGCACACTCCTTTTCCACCGAAGACTTTTGATATACACGTCCGGAATTAGCGTTATTTCTCCTTAAGACAGAAAATGGTGACAGCTGGCTAATGGTAAATAAACTACTGGCAACACATCCTGGAACCACTAAGCTGTAAATGTGGAGGAAATATGCCTATATTTAACAAGAAGATCACTTGCCTCCAGGGGAAGGTATGTGTGTTTTTGTTCCTGCCCAACTTGTAAACATGGGAGATGAGGGTAGCGTAAAACCAACTTGTGCCTATCTTTAAAATATTGTGCAACAGTGCATTCAACTGTCTGTCCACTCTCCTGCTGAAGCGGAAACCTATAGCAAGACAAGCATGAGGGGGAGAGTGTTAGATTTAGTACTTTCATGTCGCTTCATACAATGTACTTCAGATGCAAGTTCAGAAGTGCCCATCGCTGCCTCTGGAAATAGACAACATGGTACATAGCCATAATACCCAGCACTTGGCACATTAAGATTCTCCAGTTAGGGTACACTTGCTGCAATTCTAGAAGCGGCTGAAAAAGTGCTCTTGGGAGCAGCTCATGGGCTACAGACAGACCCTGTTACAGATGCTACAGATTCACCCTCCCTTTTTAAAGATAGGCTACAACATTTCTAATTACTCATGTGATTAGAAACCACTTCCAGGGATAATGCATTCAGTCGAGGCAAAATGAAGTTGTGATGTATACTTTCAACAGTTGTTTGCTAAACATTTCACAAGTGGATTTGTGTGGATATTTACTCAAATGACAAAATCAAGAGGGACTGAAATCAAGTCAGCAATGTAAGCACTAAAACAAACTCTTAAAACAGCAGATATATTTTCCTAGCATTAGAAACTGAGAATTTTAAATGAGAAAAAGCAACTAAATCAAAGTGACCTGTTTAAGTTCTCTGTATGGTCAGTATGTCTTTAAAGTAAAAGTAGACTCGTGGTCAGTGAGTAGAAGAAGCAACAAGTATGTACAAAATAAATTACTTTCATATAATTGCTAGCAAAATCAGAAGACAAGTATTACGTTTGGTGACTTGCTGGCCGTCTGGTTACGTTGCATACTCGGTATTTCCTCTTCATTTGCCCACAATGAGTGATTTCCACCTTCAAACCTATGAATTTAAGAGCAAAGAACACCCATTTCCATTTTATTTTACTCACATTCCAGGAAAAAAATGTGAAGAGTCTGCGGCAACAGAGCAACACTTAAATAAATTTAGACGTTCACGACAATGGTAGCATTCTTGTACTCCATCAGGAATTAATAAAGAATTATCTTTACAATTCAACAGTATTTATTTTAACATTTGAACATAGTTCAATCCACCTTAGCACTGTGAATTGCCCAGTGCAATTTGGGTATTTTGCAGTAATAAATGGTGAATGAATTACTCTTTTATAAGAAAATATGGAAATGTTCGCTCTGAATCGAGAAAATTCTGCTGTATGAAATCTTTCCTTCTGGCTCCTTGTAAGTATAATTGGTGAAATAAATGCAATGTGGTCAAACTGTTCAAGAAGCTTAAGGAAGCTGACATCACAGGCAGATGTCCTCAGGTAAGGCTTGCACTAAGACAAAGCATTGGGAAATAATACCCTATAGATGTCCCATAGCTCAGCAGCTTGTTTTTGCTATTACAGTAGGGTATGAACGAATAATGTAAATTAGGAATACAGTAGTCCCCCGAAATTCGCAGGGGTTGCGTTCCTACAGCACCCGTGAATTGCAAAAAACTGCAAATTTCGAATGTGGTAAAGATTCATTGCCAGAAGCCTTAGAACAGGGATTCTCAAACTTTTTGAACAGGGGGCCAGTTGAAAGGTGCCAGTGATGGGCGTGGGCTGCCAAGGCGGTGCGTGGCGAGGCAGGCATGCACAGAGATCGTTTTCTCCAAGCGAGTCCAAACCGATCTCCTTGGGAGCAAATTCCCAAGGGGAATTGGGAAAACGATCTCCTTGAGAGCAAATTCCACACGGAAAATTCCACACGGAAAATTCCACGAAAGACTGGGGCCATGAACGCTGAACTGCAACTTCACGGGGGTATACTGTAGTCGTAACAACAACCAGACTGGACCCTGACTTGGACTTGCTTGGAGAAGGCTCACTAAAATAAATGAGAACAAACATACAGACAAACAGGCACTAGAAACCTCAGGGAAGCTTAGTTGAACAGTTTGACTTTTGCAAGAAAGCTGATCCCTTACAGCCCTAGTTTTATCCCTTCTGAATGACAAATTCATCTCAAATCAACCATACTCTACTAGATCAAAACATGAGCACTTGCATCAAACAGTCAACATTTACTTTTGTTCCAGCTTCTTTTAACATTCTTACCTTTAATTTCTTTGGTAAACTTTACCCTTTGGGAATCTGTCAGAGGTTTCTGTTGTTCTTCAATACTTTTGAAATCTAGAACTTCGCATACAAACTCAATTACTGGCTGTGCCTTATAAAATGCTGTTGCCGATACTAAAAATCAAAGGAAAAGACAGGAAGTGAATGACACAGAAGTAAATTTTACAGATCTGAAACTATTCTTCAGAAAGCTAACTAGAGCAGTCTTTCTGGCAATTAAAGAAAGCAAACAAATACAGATGGAGAAGTAACACAAAGCGTACCATCAATATTAAGCATCATCTTCCACAGTGAGGGCCGAACTGATTGATGGAACCCAAACCAAACTTCTCTGCCTCCACCCAAGGGATTTGAGCAGCCTTCGGACGCAGTAAAAAAAGACCGGCCCACTGGAGTATATCTACAATAGAAAGGGAACAGATCACTCAGCCAGACACAAGTGGAAAACATTTTCTGTACTTTATTTCAGGAACACCTGTGATCCAACTGTATTATAACAACAACTAGGAATACTTTTGGCCTGTATCTGGAAAGGCCCGCAAAATTTCATCAAAATCTACATAACCCATCTATGACTCAGTCTAGTGCCGTTTGCAGTAATAAGATTCATTTTGGCTGCAGAAAGAGACAGACATGGGCAGGAAGGACGCATGGGAAGTGGTGGAGCAGGGGTAAATAAAGATAAGAGTCATATGAATTATAGAATGATTGGCCCAAAATACTTGAGACTTTTGCCCTCGTTTGAACTTCTCCATACAATGGATGGGCAGCATTTAAGGTGCAATAAGCTTTGATGAAGTTCTGCTTTTCCTTCCATATAACACACAATCCATAGGTACATTAGAACTGACATCAGGTTCCTCTTCATGACAACTATCTCCACATTTTGTTTAAATCTCTCTCTCCATGCAAAGAGATCAGAAATTTGCTTTTTAAAAGCAAAAGCTGGCACTTTATGGCAACTAACTCCAACCATGTGGTTTCCCTAAAAACCTGTAGTGGATATTTTCCTTACCTCATAGAAGGCAGGTGCCTCATTACTACATCCAACGCCTGAATTGTTTCAAAAGGAACACTTGGAAGACGACCAGAGAGAGCATCGTGTAAAGCCTGCAGACTCACAACCGACATCCACTTTATCGCCACCTTAAAGATTCTGTCCTTCCCTTCTCCTGGTAGTGTGACCTCCAACTCCACCTGCAACATTTGGAAACAACAAGATGATTCTTTCCATTTAACAATGTATACAAGGAGCATGCATGGAGAGAACTGAAACCTCGGCAAAAGCAGCATTTAAAAATTCAATCTAATTCCTACGCCACCCCAAAACCTAACACCTTAATTAAAATGCAAGAAAAATACATTTAAATAACAGTAAGACATTTAAGCCCAATGTTAATTCATTATGTTTTTCAAGTTTCTTTTGCTGTATTTTCAGTAGATTATTTTATCCTCTGTTTTTTTTCCCCTAAACTGCCTTGGTTGGCATCAACAATGGTAGAAATACGATACACAAACAAGCAGCACATAAAAACTCAGCAGTTAAAAGACCAGGTCAAATTAGAAGCAATGACTGGATGCCAACTACAAATACAGCATTAGGCAAGCTTGGCAGTTTCCAAGTTGTAATGCATGTTTCCCAGGTGAATATATACATATCACAGAATTACATAGATGCAACTACTTCTATATGGCTCAGTGTGAAACGGAACTAAATAAGTAGCAACAACAAAACTGAAGATGTTCCAGCAACCTCAGTGGCAGAGCTGATTCTGTTGAAAGGGATGAGTAGTTGCCAACCAGTTCTTTGGGGTGCTAAAATTAAAGTGTGCAGCCCTCCCCAACCGAGCTCTCACGCAGACAGAAAGATGCTCTGCGTTCTAGTCCAAGACACTTGGAAAGAACCAGGTTGAGGAAGGCTGAGTAGAGAGTTGACAGTTCTAGGTTTCTTTCTCTTTTTTCCTTGTAACTGAGTGCACCAACAGAAGTATCTACACGAAGTAACACTGAAATCACATTGCGTATGCTTTATTTTTTTCCCTCAGATATTTCAGGTCACATTCTTGTGGTATGCTGGGACAAAAAATTAAAACAGGGTACTTTATTTTGATGCTTATTTTACTTTATTAGCTGAACATATCAAATTAAAATACTCTTCAGTGATTTCCCAATGATGAACAAAACACTGCCCATCAAAATGGTCCTGTGCAAATGAACTTAACCTGCATCAGAAAAAAAATCAAAAATTTCTGGAAAACCCAGAAATGGTCTGACCTTGCTCCAGTCTCACTCACCAGTGACGTACAAACACCAGCAAATCACCCTCAAGAGAAAGTCCAGGTCTAATCACAATGCTATAAACAGCACAGCCACAGTTTTGACTTTTACCAGCAATCTTTTACACTGTGTGAACATTTTTTACTTCCACGCTTCCTTTTTCATGGAAAACACTTTACAAATAACCACAGTTGCAAAGGGCATCTGTTCTAACATCTGCAACCAAGTAGGAAACCACAGGTGATTTTACCTGGCTTGGGCTAATGGAGCAACTGGAAGTAATCTTTCCTTTACTGTCACTGTGTTGACACTTTTTGCTCAGTGCAACACACACAAGCAGAAATGAGCCATAGCGAGAGCTGGGTTCCCACACACCCCTCCCATTCTCCAGTTCCACAGGATAAAAGATGTTCAGAAGCTTTCCTGTACCTTCAGCAGTAGTTTGTTGTTTCATTTAAAGTAACAAACTGTGCTACACATTGGATACCACTAATTTAAGCAAGCAAACCAACTTAACACTGTGGTTCCTGAAGATGGTTTGTTTAAACCAACCATAGTTAATCTTCATGTCAGTTCCTGATTCAGAGAATTACAGGACGCAGTGGCTAACTTAAAGCACAAAAAAGCTTTCACACACTCTCAGCAGTTCCCCAGTAATATTTTGCTGAAAAGTCCTCCTGAAGCTTTCTCCAATGTTCGAGGCACACCGTCATCCACTGTTGGCACAAAGTGCTACTGCTGAACACGCTGAAGCAACCATGTCTTCTTGTAGCACACCCTAAAGACTAAGGAAGGAATCCTATGGAGAAGTGTAAGCCCCCAAACAGAAAAGGCAGTGGAAGAATCGCTGCCCCTGCATTTTCATGAGGTAGCTATTTTCAGTGGTCTAACGATCACATCCCAGAGGGGAAGGAAAGAAAGCTGCAGCAGTTTCAGGAGACCCAGTATTCTGACCTAAAATGCCCGTTTCCACTGCTTCCTGAAGTCATTTTTCCAATCTCAGAGCAAGCAGTGGTCACTTCAGCACCAGCTGTGAGAGAGCAAAGGAGGGCACCGGAGCTCTGATTCTCAGATTAGAGCCCTGTTTCCAATCTCAGAGTTGGGAATTTGAACTACCCTCCAGCCCCACAGCCCATGTCCCTGAGAGAGAATGTTAGCAGCCTAGGATTGAATCCACTCCCCCGGATGTTGATTCATCTAATTCACAATGGTTCACCAGATGCTCTGCTGATTTTGCCGTAACAGTCTAACATGCAAATCATTACTTAAAGCAATGAGCGTATCATACCTACCCATATCTTGTCTCAGGGGCCTTAGGATACACAGAATCATCATTAGTCTCAGACTAGGGTGGAGAGACCTGGGTTTAAGTCCCCACTCGGCCATGCCATTCGCTGCATGACACAGGGTCACTCACCCATTCTCAGACTCACAAATGAATACAATTGTCTTAAAGATTAAAAAGGGGAGAATATCTCATTTGCCCCCATGAGCTCTTGAGATAGCAGAAGGATATACATGCAATAAACAAGCAAACAAGAACATAGAAAGAATGCAACTTTGTCCAAAGAACAAAATCATATTTAGAACAACTGGAATTATAGTTCAAGCTGGCATTATAAACTTACTTTATCTCTCCCTATTGGAAGTGGCATAGCTGTATAGAGGTTTTTTCTCCCATCAAATACTGGCTTGCGATCCCCAAATATCTGCGCTTTAAAGTGCTGGACCATGTGTTCAACTATTTCTCTGGAAATAGAGAATCAAGTCAACAAAAGCATATCCCACTGTTCAAATAACAATGTGTTAAGAAGAATCCATCAAGTTTTACATATTATAGCTATAAACAAAAATTTGATATTCAGTTCTCCCAATGATACTAATGTAACATCCTGGAACACTGAGAGTACTCCATATAGTCCCTCAGTCCTATATTACCCCCATACAGCAAACGGAGGGACAGTGCCTTGCTTAGATGGTTATGGAAGAAGGCTGAACCAGGAGTTTCCTGGGTTTGCAGATCATGCTGGATTGAAATGGGATCCTAAGCACAAAGAAACATTTACCCACACATCATTCCCAGCAGCTGACTCCTTGTGCAGCCACACTCAGAGCCGCTGCACACAATACAAGTACACAGGATCTGTTCTGCACACGGTAAATACACTGCATTCCAAAGCCCAGGTTTAAGTGGCACAATTTAAAAGCTAGACCTAAGCGGCATGGAATGCTAAATGCACAAGCCTGTGCCACATAATGGATGGTACAGGTAAACCTGCCCTGTCTTTTGTCATCATGAAGCATGCTTGTATGTCCTTCTCAGTACTGGTCTAATTCAGAGGGACTGAGGCTCCCTGACGTGAGGTGGGATTCCTCCGTATCAATCCGACCCAACTGGACTGTCCGGAAGATTCATGCTACAGAGAACTGAAGAAAAGCAGGCACTGCATTTGAAAAGTTGGCTTGTTTAGTACCACTTTCTCATGTATGGAATCCACAGGGCAGAGGGGGAGAAATAGGAGTTAAACAACAGGCAGGTCTATGTACTAAACATGGGGAGCAGTTTACTAGGAGCTCACCAAGCACTTACCCTCTGGAGACAAAGCTGAATGAATCTTATAAAAAATGATCTGACAAGGCTATTTTGTTCTTAGCTGTTACTCATCTGTGCATCAATGCTCTGAAGAGCTTTCGAAGGGGAGAAAAACTCTTCATTTATTAATTACGTATCTTCTTGATTTCTCTGTCTTTCAATCCTCGTTCTTAAACCATTCCTCCCAAATTCCAGCGTCTAGTCCTACAATTTCCATTTTCATTCCAAATCCATTCTTTTCATTTGAGCCCACCCACCTCAATCTTTAAGTTTCAGTTATTCTTGTTTTTATTTGTGTTTGGATAATCTCTTCTTTCATTGAGAAGTCAGTGGTATATCCCTTCACTTCCCCCTACTTCATTTGGACCTTAATTCTCTAGGATAAGTTTTATTTTGAAGGAAGTTCTGAGTTCTGTTCTTTTAATACTGTAAGAATATCAATCATGTATGCATTAGCTTTATAATGTTGCTGTTGTTGCTATTTTTTCTTACCTATTCTATCAGAGTTCCCCTTTGTAGCTTATGTGGAGCCTGCAATTTCTTTTTTGCTTTGGGGAGTTTGCATGTGAATAACTTCATTTTACACAAACACACACGCACAAGTTGCTGAGCATGACCTGTTACTGGGCACTCAACCACCGTGTTTCAGACAGGGAGAACTTCAGCACAGGATCATCTCTGATCCCAGCCCAAAATTCCAAACCCAACCATCCCTTATATCCATTCTTCATCATGCTTACTTCAATCAGTCTTTTCCCAAAGTTGTTCCCTCATTCTTTTTCCTGCAAACAACTGGTCCACTGATTCTTCCTCCAGCACACAGATGTGGAACGGATGAGCCTTGGGCTCTTGAACTACAACACTCTCATCAGCTGAGTCAAAGGCAGGGGAGGGTAAGAGCTGTAGTCCAGTGACATCCGGAAGCCCACACATTTCTCCATTCCTGCTATGGCCGATCCTGATGCTCTGGTTTTATGCGGGGCTTTCTTCCTGAGGTTGCCCCTGTGCCTGGTTCAGAAGCTGCAGCCAATGAGCAGCACAACATCTCGCCAGGACCACCCAGCTACACACACACAAGCCCTGGACTGAAAGAACTGTGCTGGGTATCCATTAGTTACCAAGCCACTTTCAAGGTTGCGCTTTTGTCTTACAAAGCCTTAAACAACTCGGAGCAAGGATACCTAGCAGACCACCTTCCCTTATATAAACCTAGCTGACATTTAAGAGCAGAGAGGCCTTGCTGACCATTCCAAAAATAACAGGATGTCTCTATGCAGCGGCCCTCTCAGCAATGCCGCACATCCTTCGCAAAACCCTCCTCAGTGCTGTTCAGAAGGCAGAAATGCGGCATGTTTCAAACGCTTCCTGAAAACACACTCGTTTACTCAGACCTTCGCTAGCTTATACTTATATCAATTATGCTGCTCCATTTCTTTACTGCTCATGTATAGCTCTGCAATCTTGTAAATGTATTTTTAAAATATTGTATTTTAATGTGATTTTAATGCCTATGCATTAACTGCTTCTGGATTTTATTATATTTAAAAGGTATGTAAATAGCAAATTAAATCAATAAATAAATCTCACTGTGGTGTGATCTTTTGTCTTGTCACATTAATAAGCTCGAATACTGTCAGGATCTACAGAACAATGCAGCTCCCTCTGGTGGCCTGATAAAGATGACAACCTGGTTTACCATGCAAGTACCTGCAGGATTAGGGCCAATCTAATCAGGCAGCCCAGCCTGGTGCCAGTGGCACCTCTATAAAAGGCTGATCAGACCTACTTAGCTTTGCCACACCAACCTGAGTCCTTGTGGTGACTGCATCGCGCTCCCTGCTTGGCTTCTGCCCCTAACCCTCCAACGTGAGGCTTGACTCTTGCCAGTTCCTGGCCCTGCCTTTGCCAGTCTCTGACCTTTGCTTGTTCCTGGCTCTGCTTTGGCCTCTGACCCTCCTAAGTCTCACCAAGTGTCCTGCCCTTGCCTAAATAAGCCTCAGAACTTGTTCCACTTCTACCGTACCAAGTGCTCCACGCAAGAACACTTGCTGCTTCGAGATTACATTCATGCCTGCAATTTAAATACCTCCCCAAGGTGTTCTGTGTGGACTCAGCTTGACTCTGGTGCTGAGGCACTGCCTGGCCATGGCCACAAGGGGCGAAAACAGGCACGCCTGGCAAGTGGTCAAGATATTGCAAGCGTAGCTTTATTTCCTACTCTGCCAGTCAGGAAGTGCCGTGCAGCGGCCCAACGTTTTTCATGCCTATGATTAGCAACATACTGAATCAATCAAGAACTACCTTTGGGGCATGTGCCCAACGAGGGCATTGGAGAAACAAGCAGATGGTCCTCATGCTGCTCCAATGCCCTCACTGACCAAACGTCGCAAGGGTGATGACTGACTGGTTCACCATGTTGCTAATTGTACTTACGGACAAAGATGTGGACAACTAATACTCTGCTCTCAGATGGGATTGTTTATATAGTGCCATCTATGTAAACTTCACAGGATAATTTACGCAAATTACACAGGCCATTGACTGAAGGAGTTTACCATCTACTGGAGAGAAAACTGGAGAGACCAAGTTAACAAGAACACGGTATGAGGAATTGGAATCACAAAAACAGGTGCATCAGGAGAGAAGAGGTACAGTGGCTTGGCATTACACCTCTTGATCTCAAAATGTTTCCAGAAACACTGGACTGGTGAAATGGGCTCTGCTCTGTCACAGGCCTGCAAGCTATCAAATGGAAGACCTAGCTGAAAGCAGTCCTTGCTTCTGATGTATCAGCTCAAGCACAGCATGCTTATAAAACGATCTCCGGGGATACAACTCTAGCCTGACCCAAACCCACCACTATCCGTGTTCAGTATTTTTTTAGAAATGAATTCAGTCCAAACCATCCAAGTACATTAAACTGTATCTAACACCAAGTAATATTACCATGCCATTTTGAAATTCCACACTTACAAAGAATGTCGTGTAAGGGGTTCTTCCCCATGACAAATGGCGTATTTCTCTTTTGTTTGAAGCATCAGTTGCTTTGTGACATCCTTGGCACGTTTCAAGACACTGTGGTATTATGCAAAATACCCTGCCAGATATGGGGAGGGACCTGCAAATTGGCAGGCCTCAAGTTACATTACTTTCTTTTTCGCTTTTCCACTTATTGAAGCAGTACCCAAGGTGGTTAAAACGAAACAGAACTTTCCCTTTTGTCTCCAGTTTTCCCTTCTCAAAAGAAGCAGCCTGACCTACACCAGCACTGGGATAACTCAAAAGGTGAGAAAGAACATGCAGCTGCACATGGCACCCTGCACATAAGCTCAGCCACTGTGCTTTTTAAAAGCAGCCACCTAAAAGATGAAGAGGATGAAACCCAGTAGTCGACATCTGTCCCTTTTCACTGACAGGAGATCTGATGAAAGCATGTAATCTTCTACCTGCTATTACATGTGAATTCTCCAAAGTCCTTTCATACTACCCAACAAATGACTTTACTTCCTTGTTCCAGCAGGTGAAGACAGGGAAACACAAGCAGTTTGTAACATCACCTCTCTGTTTAAGAGACTTGGTAACAAACCACAGTATCAAACAGAAGGCAAGTTCAGTTCTGTTGGACAAGGATGAAAGACAGTGGAATCAATGAAATATGGTGCTGCCAAGCCAGCCATGCTTAAATCTAAATTTTATTTCACAGTACTGCTAACCACAGGGCGGGGAAAAAAGGAAGCATTTTGCATGATATAAAAAGATTTGGAGAAACCTATGTTGTTTTTGAGAGCAAACAGAACCCAGGAATTACTGCTTCTGCCTTATATGGGAATGTCACAGTCAATATCCATGTGAGAAATGGTTCAAAATTTACTTGAGCTTTAATGATTTTTGAATGAAGTAAGTGAAATATGAAAAACTAAGGAGAAATCAACATGTGAAGTACCTGTTAACCCTTCTAGGGCACTTCTCTGGCTTTATATCCAATTCATAATGGTAGATGTCGATTTTAGGAATGTCCATTTCAAAAAAGTTGGCTTGTAGTTTGATTGTTCTCCCTGAAGTACCGAAGTCAGGTCGAGGAGGAGGTTTAAATGCATATGCCTGTACTGGAGGTGGCAGTGGCGGAGGTGTTGCAAGTACTAGAAAGGAGGGGGGAAAAAACACAGTGAGTGACACAGGTTCCTAAAATACACTTTGAAGGAGATATTTCATTTTAAAAGAAAAGTTATGTATTCCTTAGAACTATTTCAATCTGTTTTGTCATTAACAGGAAGGTCACAAAAGGAATAATCAAGGCTGAAAGGCAGAAGAGAGGACAGGTTTAATCAAAATTATGCAGCAAGCTTCTGAGTTATTAATAGTGCAAATCACTCTCTCAATACAGCATAATCAATGGCTGACGTCCAAATATCATTAAAGCAAGCGCAAGTCCTTGTCCCTAAAATCAGCTTAACAATAAAAGGTTTTAATGCCAGCCAAAAGGAAACAGCTGCATGGCAAAAGTAATATGAAACAGGACATAATTCTCAGTGCATCAATGCTAGTAGTATTATACCACTGTGTAAGTAAAGTTAAGGGTAGCATCTCTGAAATTGTTTCTGGATCACATGCTGAGTTACTACTTTCTAGCTATTTTTCTCCAACTGGACACAGAATCATACAATAGTAGAGCTGGAAGAGGCTATGAGGGCCATCAGGTCCAACCCCCTGCTCAGAGGGCTGCCCAGTTTCTTTCTGAACGTATCTCATGTGGGAGAGCCCACCACCTCCCTAGGCAGCTGGTTCCACTGACATATTACTCTGACAGTGAGGAAGCCAACCTGAATCGGGGTTGTCGCAACTTGAACTGATTATTCCATGTCCCACACTCTGGCATCAGCAAGAAGAGATCCTGACCTTCTTTGTGGCAGCCTTTGAGGTGCTTACAGAGGGTATCATGTCCCCACTCGGTCTTCTTTTCTCAAGCCTGAACATGCCCAGTTCTCTCAGTCTCTTCTCACAGGGCAGTGTTTCCAAACCCTGGATCATTTTTGTTGCCCTCTGCTGGACCCTTTCTAATTTACCAGCATCTTCTTAAATCTTGGTACCCAGAACTGGACACAGTATTCCAGGTGAGGTCTGACTAGTGAGGAGTATAGAGGAACTACTACTTCTCATGATACATCCATGCTCCATTCAATAACACAAAAGCCACGCATCAAAACACCTACTATACTGCATATCAATTTACACCGAATCTATCAACAAGATGAGGACCTAAATTTAATTGTGTTTTATTAACTATTTTTAATTTATTTACATTATTTCTAGAATGCGCCATATCCAAACAGATTCCAGCAGGAACAGCATAAGGTTAAAACAAATGAAAGAATACAATCAATATGTTAAAACATTTAAAAACAAAATGATGTTAAGATTGTGGCTGGTCAGCAGGAAAAGGTTTTCTGGAACATGACTGTCTTTAGGAGGTGCCAAAAACAGCTCATGGCTGATCCCCGCTTGGCCTCTCCCTAGAAAAGGGGCAGCCACCTGCTGGACTCCAGTTGGTCCATAGGGAAGAGGTAGGAGAATGTCCTCCGACGGCCTCAGTGAAGGGGCAAGAGGGTTATGAAGAAGGTGCTTTCCCAGGCATCTTGTTTCCAATTGACGAGGGCTTTGAGCACTGGTACTAAAGAACTAAATTTAACTAAAGCAAATTTGCCAGCCAGTGCAGTTCTTTCAGCAAAAGAAATTGCTCACTGAAAAAGACAGATCATGTCAACAGCTGAGCTGCTGCATTCTGCATAACTCCAGCACACAGATGTTTTTTTTAAATGTGAGGACACTCCCATGTGGAAGCTATTATGTGACTTGGATTCAAACCCTTGGATTCAAGCCCTTTCAAAGGAACTGGTTAACATTCTAAAGCTAAGTTGTCAGTATGCAGAGAATTAATTTAAATACAGGATTTAAATCAAGCTTCTCAATAATGATGCACATTAACTGGTTGGTCTAAACCATAGAAACATCGTAATATTCAATTACAGAAAGAAGAACCCTCTCTAGGGGAGTATACTTTCCAATATTGCAGTTTTGTTTCTCACTTCTGCTCCTTCTCCTATACTTCGTATTTCTCTGGCTCTGACCTACTCCCTCCCCAGAAGCACAAACACACATAAACCTAGCTAAGATTCCTGAAATTTCGCTCATTTAGGTCAATCCGTTTTTGAGACAACAAAGGGCAAGATCCATCCCTCAATTATTTCTCCTATCAGAATATATATCCCATACAAAAAGCTGTGACTCAGATGAGAGGTATGAAGTATCATGCTGTACATCTGGCCCCACTGTGTTAACATAAGGGGAAGCGTACACTCATAAGGGGGAATTCCAGAGATGGGAAACGGGGAATTATCATCTTGCACACAGAGGAAATACACAGCACAAAACATATCCAGAAAACTCAGGGGAACATAAGCATGTTGGGACTCCGGACTGGCAGCCAACCACATTCCATGCCAACTGGGATGCCAGAAGGAACGCATGCCGTTGCACATCTATCTACTCTTGTACACCCCTTTGTCATACATGAGTCCTCTTTCTTGTTTGAACTCTGTCGTTCTAATACTCTCCTCTCCCCCACACCCAAAGCGAGCAGCAGGGTCTGCAACACAGGAGAGGCATCCATCCCCACATTCAGGTGCACCTGGTGTCTATGACTAGGCATTAAGGTTCCAGGCGGGAAACAAGACACACGCACCATGAGGTGCTTGACATCCCTGCTGCTGTGGCTGAGTAACAGGCTGGAGGAGTTACTTCGGAGCTTACAATGTAGGTTCTATTCTGAGACCATCTCACTTTTACTAACCAATACATTTCATGGGGCTTCCCTTCTGCCAGATGCCCTACTGTCCAAGTTAGAAGGTCCCTTACAGGATGTTTGCCTTGAGAACAGGGACAAATTTATGCATATTCCAGAGGGACACATTCCATAACAAAGCATAATTATATTCACATCTATCGTGCTCCCACATAATCCTTTTTCCTAAACTAAGTATTGATCCATTTATACCTCCTACCTACAAAGGAAAAAACCTTGTAATTTTCCTTGAAATGAAGTTTTTCAAAGTCTTGGATCATTCCCTTTTTCTGTACAAGGTATAATATATATACAAATATTATTTCATGTCTCAAGTTCTATTTGTGAAATTTAAATCTACAAACAATGCTTAATCTGATCTTAGACACAGAAAAGAAGTACAGTCAACCCTCAATTTTCATGGGTTTAACTTTTGCGAAATTGATTATTTGCAAATTTGCCATCAATAATTAAATGGGATTTTTTGGAATTTCACAGCCTACTGCAGAAAATCGCATCCAATGTGTGTCAACTAGAAAATACCCAATATATAGGTGTATTCTTCTGAAATATATGTCCTGGGTGTTTGTTCCACACATTATTATGGTATTTTTCTGAAACATACTTCCTGTTCACTTGTTCCACACGTTACTATTTTATATATATATAGCTTTTATACATAGTGTGTGTGTGCGCTATTATATATGTATGTATGTGCATATAAGACGACCCTTGAAACCAAAAATAGCAAAGCAAACATTTGGGGTCATCTTATGTGCCAGTATATACATTGTATCAAGAAAAAAGAAAGGGAAATTTGTGAAGCCGTTGCTACAGCAACACTGGAGGGCATGAAAACACTCATGCAGAGGGCAGAAGGAGCAATCCAGTGTACATATGGTCAGCAGTATTAAGAGTTAAGGTTGTGGGGGCTAGTTTTTCCACTTTTGCAGGGGTCCGGCACCCCTAACTCACATAAATGTGGAGGGCAGACTATATAGAGAGCCAGTGTGGCGTCGTGGTGAAGAGCATGGGACTGGGACTCAGCCGATCTGGGTTCTAGTCCCCGCTCGGCCATGGAGCCAACTGGGTGACTCTGGGTCAGTCACAGACTCTCAGTCCAACCTACTTCGCAGGGTTGTTGTTGTGGGGATAAGACGGAGGAGGAGATGTAAGCTGCCTTGAGCCCTTTGTAGGAAAAAGGCAGGATATAAATCGAAAATTCAATAAATAAAAATATAGCCAAAGAGCAGCTTCACTGGATGGAAAAAGTGGATATTATTAAGTTTAGGCAGAGTTGATCTCTATTCAGCAGCGAGGCGGGCTATCTGGGCAATCACTGGGGCCTCTCAGAACATGTGGGCCTTAAGAGGCTCTTCACCATAATCTGGGTACCATACTTACCTATTTAAATGAGTTTCTATTCATCAAACTAAAGCAGCAGAGAACTCTCTGCAACGTAACCCTTAAGTGAATGAAATGAGTAATAAATGTGAGCAAGTTTCACTTAAAATGCTCTGAGGCTTGCTGGCTCACTCAAGTTCCACCATTTCTTTCTTTTCTTTTTTCAAGTTGGGGCAATGGAAGATACCTGAAGTGCTGTTCTGTTGGGCTCCTGGGAGATATTCAAGGCTTCTGACAGGTCTAGTTTTCTCTTACACGTGGTGGTGGTGGAGTAAGAGGAGGAAAAAAGATAATTAAGTTCTCTTGGGGTCTGAGCAATAGTGTGCTTTGCCACCTTCTAACCTCAAGCAGCAGCAGCAGCAATTTCTTCAGAGAAAGGAAACAGAGGGGAAGGGACTGAGCTAATGATACTTCAGCCCATTTTAAAACTTCCTGCAGGATCATCGAAGGCCACTCAGATATACTACATCTGAAGAGCTTTATACTTGATCATATTTTGCAAATTCCACACAACACTTTTTTAGGATAACAAGGTCTACCAAATTATACTGTATATAACTTTAAGAAGGCTTTAATACTTGCCAACATATTGGAAGTATTCCTTATCTTGGCCTAACCATTGAATGCTCTTTGCCTATCAGCCCCAAACAGAAGAGTTAAGGAGCTGAAGCTATATGATAATCTATAGTATAATTTTGAAACACACGCCTATAGAATGTATTTTCAAAAACACTATCTCCAACTTGTTTGAGACAAAGCAGTTCTTAAAGGTACCTTGTTTTCAGTACTTTATATAATATTTCTCTAAGACCAAAACTAGAGATGCCAGTATTTGCAACAACTAAAATTTTATAAATTTGAGCATGAATTGAGTATACTTTGTTAAAGCTCCCACAA